GGGGGGGGCAGGCCTAGCTCTATGTGGCACCTAAGTTAGCACCTAGCTCAACGGGGACCGATTACCGGGGTCCAGGCCACACCTCGGCTCAGCAGCAGACTTCCCCACACGACAGCTTCCAAGGTTCCCCAGACTACCTATGCCAGGCGGCGCGGGCGTCGCGACAGGAAGCCCCGACTTCCTGTCTCCTCAGACCATATTCATGCCGGCCGCCAAGCTCGTTGGACATCTTGACGGCGATACACAATGGCACAGAACGCAAAGCAGCGTATAGAAGCCCTGGGGAAGCAGCTGGCCCCGGGTGCGACCTTCGAGGGCATGCCCGCCGTGAAGAAGGTCGCCGACCCGTCGAGTGGGCTGAGGCTCAAGGACAAGGTCGCCATCGTCACGGGTGCGTCCATTACACCTCTCCCGAATGACCCCAAACGCTGTGATCCGAGGCTAACCATATCATTCTGCAGGGACGAACTCTATACTCGGAATCGGTCGCGCGACCTGCCACCAGTTCGCTGAGAACGGCGTGAAGGCCATCTACCTGTGCGACTTTGATAACAGCAACCTCGAGAAGCACAAGCGCGAGATCAACTCTCTATATCCCAAAGTCGAGGTCCATGTCCGTCAATTTGACGCCGCCAACGAGGAGGCCGTCAAAGAGGTGGTTGACCATGCCGTCACAACCTACGGCAGGCTCGATGTGTTCTTCGCGAACGCCGGCATCATAGGCCAGGCGCTCCACTTCAAGGACGTAGAGAAGAGCGACTTCATGAAAGTCATGGAGACCAACGCTGCTAGGTACGCCCTTGTCCCACCCCCGCTGGATTCTGCTCACCCACGGCCATAGTGTGTTCTTGGCTGCGAAGCATGCTGCACCGGCCATGATGAAAACCTCAGCCGGCAAGAAATCTTCGTCGGGCAGCATCATTGGTACGGCCTCCGTCGCGGGCATCCGCTCCAATGCGGGCCCTACCGCCTACTCCGCAGGTAAAGCCGCCGTCGTCTCCATTGCTCAGACCTGCGCCTACCAGCTTGCGGGCACGAACATTCGGGTCAACGCGTTATGCCCGGGTCTGATCGAGACGGGAATGACTGCACCGACATTTGAGACCGCAAGGGCACGGGGGACAGAGAAGAAGATTGGGCAGCTGAACCCCATGAAGCGAGGCGGCAATGCCGACGAGATTGCTCGTGTTGCGCTCTTCCTGGCTAGTGACGAAGCGAGTTATGTCAATGGCCAGGCTTGGGCCGTCGATGGAGGCCTGAGTGCTGGGCACCCGTTCGTACCTGGAAAGCTTGCATAGGAGAATCAAACCTGAAGTCGGACACGTCCTCTGGCCCATGTACATTCAATCTCCAGAGTTCAGAGGCATGTCAAGTCATGGAACGCGAATGCCAAGCTTGAGGCGACATTCTCATGTCGCATTGAACCATAGTCCCCCCAATCCAAGCGCCGGACGTATCTTAGTGAGAGAGTTGAAGCTGCAACGTCACAGCTATTGTTCGGATTCAGGTTTTGGATTAGGAAACACTTGGGTGGACTACTTGCGCAAGCGTCATCTCGTCGTTACCAGCACAAGACCATTGTTTGACGAGCGTTGATCCGGGTAAACTACATAGTTGCATCCACATCTTGGGGCGCATGGTCCTTGGCAAAGGGCTATGCCATTTTCATGGAAATCAATCTCGGAAGTTTCGTTTACATCTGGGGTCGACGGTGTAGTCGAGGTCTACTCATTGGCACTCAGAACTTCTTGGCAGTGGGTTCGGCGTTTCTGATCGCAATGTTGTCTCCTTGAACGCGCAAACACCAGGGCAGGGACCATCTCGTGAAGTGCGCCTCCAGATGTTACCACCAGCATGCCATGTCCCATAACCCTGGTTGGCGGGTAAAGATGCCGTAAGACTGGAATAGATCTGATCAAGCTTAGATGCCCAGACGTTGTGCTGCCCATGTGTGCATGGCCCCATCTCTTTGCACCGAAGCAGAGCCCCCTAGCATCTGAAACTGCATCCACAAGCAACTCTCGCTTGTGAATGCCCTTATGCCCATTGGCGGCAGCTACCCCCCAAGGAGAAGGATCAGGAACGTTGCGGCTCGATAAGAGGCTCTTCGCCATGATCTTCAGCCTTGGCATTCATCGAACCCCTGAACACTAGTGGGAGCCGCGTAAGCTTTGCCCACATCCCGGGTTTGTTTTTAACTGTAAATAAACCACAACCATCAGGGAGTCTCCACCATCATAACGGTTTCCCAGATGCTTAATCCCCCCTTCCACCAATGGGAAACTTGCAGAGCGGCAGTTACTAAACGTCCTTTCACCATTGGTGCCCTGGTGGGCGTCCCACCAACTGCGGCTCTCTCCTGTTTGACGGGGCGTTGGTGGTGGGTCATCTTCGGCGTCGCACCGAGGGCCGCGTACGCCCTTGCATTGGTTGAATGAGAATAAGGGCATTCATTCGTAAATCTTCGTCGAACTCGTCGTCGCTTGCAGGAGCCAAGACTGCTCTATGAGCGAGAATGGATCCCCCGGTGGCATTGCTCCGTTCTGAACCTGACTGTCCCTCAGTATTGGGTGCAAATGCATTGACAAACACTCTGTATCGCGACTATATTACGCAACATGGTGTACGAAACGGTAAACGCCAAGCCCGGCGCTCCTGTATGTAGCATTGCTGCGCGAGTATACCATGTCCAACATCGTGATATAATAAGGCCTCGTTACCTCGCTTTGTCGGACTCTCATTCCTGGATCAACTCATCAGGTTCCTCACTCTTTTGACTTCTCTTCTCAAGCTCAGGATCCGAATTGTCATTCACTTGCCATCATGGTCAACTTCCGCAACTTCGCCGCCTCTCTTGCGGCTGCCTCTGTCATCGGTTCAGCACTTGCCCACCCCGGCGAAGTCCACACGGCCGAGGAGAAGAAGCGCGAGATTGACAACTTCAAGGCTGCTCAGCTCAACCTTCGACGCTCCTTCGCTGAGGTCGGCAAGACCCCTGAGGCTCTTGCACTGAAGGCCCGCGCCGCTGCCCGCCGTGCTGGTATCGCACAGGCCCTCCGGGAGAAGCGTGGACTTACCAAGAGTGAGAAACTGTCGTTTGCTGTTGTCAAATATTGCATACTGATACTTTCTCCCAGAGTCCCTCAAGTCCAAGCGTGACCAGGCTGCCCTCGAGAAGTGGAGCGCAATCAGCCATGACGTCTCCGAGACTGGCTACACTCTGGACACTCCTATTGAGACCATCTTCGGCGGTAACTCTAGCACTGCCCTCGTGCCCGAGACTACTATTGGCCCCTACTTTGTCTCTGGAGAGTTGATCCGGGAGGACATCACCGATGGCGAGACCGGTGTTCCTCTACACTTGGACCTGCAGTTCGTCGATGTGAACACTTTCGAGCCTGTTCCTGACCTCATGGTTGACATTTGGCACTGCAATGCTACTGGAGTTTACTCTGGCGTTTCCGCTTCTGGCCAAGGTGGACTGGATACTACCACATTCCGTGGAGTTCAAGCCACGGATTCTGATGGTGTATCCCAATTCGACACCATTGTCCCCGGTCACTACACTGGCCGAGCCGTCCACATCCAGTAAGTAGGCCTTGAAAGGCTTGTATTTGAGACCCGGATCTGATCATGCTTCTAGCCTGATGGCCAATTCGAATGCCACTGTCCTGTCTAACAACACCTACGAGGTCGGCACCGTCCTGCACATCGGCCAGCTGTTCTTCGACATGTCTCTCATCAACGAGACCGAGGCCACCTCACCCTACAATACCAACCAGCAGGTTTTGACTGCCAACCTGGATGACGGTATCGCCGCAGACGAGGCTACTGCAGACTACGATCCCTACGTAGACTTCGTCTACCTTGGCGACACCATTGCGGACGGCCTTCTGGGTTTCATCACAGTGGGCGTTGACACTACCGCTAACTACACCGACAACTACACCCCTGCGGCTCACTACCTAGAGGGCGGCGGTGTCGACACTGGCAACTCCGGCGGCGGTCCCCCTGGTGCTCCCCCTGCTCGCAAGTAAGCCTGCTGCTTCGCGCGAAGGTGTGCTGGATTTGGAGAAGAGTAACTTCAGGTGATTTTGTGTACCTATCGGTTCCTTGTATATAGCTTCGGGAGATAAAACATGACCACTGTCGTTACCGCAGATCTATTTGGACAAGTTTGGTGATCATATCAAACCCTGAGCAACACCCAGTCCGACCTCTCTAAAGTGCACCGGTTTTTCATTTTCATTTTCGAACTTGCGCCTAGCGACTAACTTTGCAGTGTTCGGCGCCCCAATGCGAACGCATTTTCTAGGCCTCGAAGCCACTCGCTGATCACATGGTAGATTTAGCCGGTGGGTGAGCTACTCTATCGTCTAATGAACCAATGACGGAGTAACAAGGGCGGCTAATTCAGATCACCTTGATCAACACGTGTCATTCCATGGCTGTAAAACTTGCATTTGAATCATGTTCAGAGAATTGTGCTCCGTAAGTTGTCAGCTGCAAGATGTCTCGCCTCACTTCAACTATCACTGGCTTATTACTACTTGCTCAGAACTCCTTTGGGGCGCATACTGAGCACGCCGCAGCTAAATTTTGCATCATCAAGCACGCTATACCACTTGGGCTCGGTGTGTGCCCAATACCAGTTGACGATGCCACATCGAAAAGAACAGGAAACCATTCGCCGTGGGCATATCCTCCTCGCTGTGTCAAACCGGCAAATCGACCAAAGAAGGGGCCCAAATACTGCGTCTACAACTTTGCAGACTTTCGCGGCGGCGAGGGCTTGAGTATTATTGCGACGCCCGAGATAGCAGTCGAGGTCATTGATGCACTGGACGACGCAACTGTATCACCAAAACTTCGTAGTCATCCATCTAGTTTACTATTCCCTGGAGCAGAACGGGTGGCCCCATTTGAGATCGAGGATGTCCCAAATAAAGGGAAGGGTGTCATTGTGACGGAGGACATCAAGCAGTGGCAGACCGTCATGGTTGACTTCCCCGCTGTGATTGCCCCTATGGACCTCTTTGAGGCTGTGAGTCCGGAGCAAGGCCGACATCTGATACAGAATGCGATCGAGCGACTGCCTGTGGCGAAGAAGGCTGCCATTCTATCTCTTGCAGCTGGGAGCGAAGGTGGAATGGTGCAAGGTATCTTGAACACTAACAGCTTCGGCATCAACTTTGAGCAAAATCAGTACATAGCGCTTTTCCCAACAGGCTCGGTGTGTATATACTTTCTACACTGCAAAGTACAGCTGCTGACTGTCCGACAGAGGGTGAATCATGACTGCCGGGCTAACGTATTCTGGCGTTATTCTCATGCCAGCATGACGATGGAGTTCGTGGCCCTCCAGGATATTTCGGCAGGGGATGAGATAGCCTATGGCTACATCCCACTGGGTGGCATCCGTGAAGAGCGACAGGAGCTGCTGCGCCAATGGGGCTTTAACTGCTCCTGCTCATTATGTTTGGCGCCGGCTAGCGAGGTTGCGAAGTCTGACGCCGCAAGAACCAGGATCCAAACGATAGCCGATCGGCTCAGATCAGCCAAGGCCAACAAGAAAGGAAAGCTCACGAGACTAGTGTCTGAGATGCTCCATCTGGTGGATCAGGAGGGGCTAGGACCTCAGCTGGTGGTATGGTACGATCTCATCTCGCGGGCATACCTCCAGGTGGATGATTTTGAGAACGCGGAGCTGTACGCGGATCTGGCTGACCAGACCTGGAAACAACACGGCGGCGAGTTCCACGAAGGCGTGGATGATATCCGGGCCCTGCGTGAAGCACTGCAAGCGCGGAGGACCGAGAGTATCGGACCTGGGATCAAAATGAAAAATTAGTAATGTGACTGTCAGCGTCGCCAAGTGCTGCTGACCAGCGCCTCGCGACTCCAATTTGTCCCACTGGCGCCCAATGACCATGCATCGTCGCGACGACCCCCCGGTCTTCCCCAGGTTGGGGTAACACCCACGGTAACAACTGCCGCTGCCAACCCCGCATGGAGGCGGTAGGCTATCTGTACCACGGGGAATGTCTACCTAGGTAGCGAATGGCACCCTGAGCGAAAGGGGAATGGGCCACATAGGACAGCGGCGCTTTGTTGCTTCAACCTCCCTGAAGCTGAATGATTCCACGCTGTATAAAATCTGCAAGGTTTACGCTCCCCAAGATTCCTTTCCCCCTGGCATTCGGGCTTGTATTTTTTTTTTTTTTTTTTAACAAACGCTGCTTGTTATCGGCATATCATCATGGCTACGGACGACCAAAAGATTGGCGCTGATCAGAATGACAAGGTGGAGGTGGACGCGATCCACCATGAGGAGAAGACTATCGTCCCCATTGAGGAGGAGGCCGCAGACGAAGGGATACAGGTGAATCTCAGTTGGCGATCTTGGGTCAGTCTAGTACTCCTGTAGAACTCGAGCCAAAGCTGACCTAGCAAACAGGTTGTTGTCTTCATTACCTGCTTTGCGTAAGAGACTCCGAGAAGGAAGGATGATGTACCAGCTACCGGGCTAACACTTTGGGTTCTAGGATCATGGCACAGGTTTTCGTCGTAGTCGCTGCAGGGTATAGCATACACCGTTCTCGTTGCTCCCATCATGCTGAGGTCACTGACAATTGGGTGGACCAGGTCGGTCATCGCATTCATCATCAGGGACTTGGGAAGTCCCGCGCTGGCCGGATGGATCATACAAGTAAGCTTCTCGCCCGACCATGAGTGGTGAAACTTCTAACAGAGCGCTAGGGCCCATTGCTCATGCAAAGTGTCCTCTCGCCCATTGTTGGGCGCCTGTCAGATGTCTTGAACCGGAAGTACTTGGCTGCGATCCCTCCGTTGATTGCATTCGTCGGCGCTGTGATCTCGGCAAAGGCAACATCTATGAACATGCTAATCGGTGGAGGGATTCTCATCGGCACTACTCTTTCAACTATTTCAATCGTCCAGGCGATACCCTCAGAGATCCTTCCTCTCAAGTACCGAGCTTTGGCAAATGGATTCTCGTTCATGGGAGGTGCAGTGGGTGGACTGTAAGTTTCGTTCCGCGATTTGCGGACGAATCCTACTGACCAAAGATGTTAGGGTGGGTGTTCTCGGGTCTGGGGCCCTGACCAACATTGATGCAGGCGGCTGGCGGTACATCTTCTGGCTCCAGGCTGCCTTCCATGGCATTACTTCTCTTGGGCTCCTTTGCCTGTACTGGCCCTCGGAGCATACCGAATATCCGAAGATGGCCTTGAAAGACTATATCTGGGCCTGCGACCCCATTGGGTCGTTTCTGTTTATATCTTCAACTACCTTGATGCTGATTGCGCTAGACTATGCGGGAGGCGAATTTGCCTGGTCCAGCGCTATGGTTGCTGCACCTTTGACCATCGGACTTGTACTTCTTGTTCTGTTCCTGCTGTACGGTGAGTTGACGTTTGATGGTCTCGGTAATCGGCCAACTGCTAATTATTCCCTATCCTCTAGAGTGGAAAGGTCGCGATGATGGACTCATTGCTCACGTGTTCTTCCGCAAGAATCTCAATTTCTTCTTGAGTGTCTTTGCCTTCGCTGTTGAGGGTTGGATATTCTACAGTGCTGTCAACTCTATCACACCTCAGATAATTCTAAACCTTGGGTTTGAAGACAACGCCTGGGATATCTCGGTACGACAACTCAGTGCTCAACTCCCAACACTTCTTACCAGTATACCTATCACATGGTGAGTACATCAAGAGCTTACATGGCAATGTCGTCTGTCCTTTTGGTAATGTTTTTTTAGGTATGCAACCCGATTCAAAGATCTGAAGTCACCTCTTCTTGTCACGTTTACACTCTTCCTCATTATGTAAGGCCCCCACTGCTTTTTCGTCATAATCACATCCCATTGACATTGCATAGAACTATCTGCTATGCAACGATCCAGCCTTCTTGGAATGCCGCGCAGATCGCCTTCAATGTCCTTGGGGGTATGGGTCAATCTGGGCCCTTGACTCTACTTGTAGCTTGCGTCCAATTCACAGCGCCCCATGCGTATCTTTCAACGGCCACTGGCCTGGCATTCTCTGCCAGAGCCATAGGTGGTGCCTTCGGTTCGGCCGTCCTAAATGCTATTATCAACGGGAGAATCAGTACTCACTATGCATCTGCTGTGTCGTCCGCAGCAGTGAACGCTGGCCTTCCGGAAAGCAGTATTGGGGATCTCTTGGAAGCTCTAGGCTCTGGACAAATCGGTGCTGATATCGCGGGTGCAACACCAGATGTCTGGGCTGCAGCACTCGATGCGAGCCATTGGGAGTATGCTCATGCATACCGACTGGCTTGGTCCAGCATCATCCCATTCGTGGTTTTGGCTATTGTTGCAGTTGCCTGCCTCAAAGGTGTCAAGGAGCTAATGACAAGCAAGATAGAGGCTACTGTAGAGCATGTGGAAAAGGTAGACAAGATGACCGGTGCTTGAGTAGGATTGATAATCGGGAACAGGAATCATGTACTGTACGTCGATCACAAGATAAATCGAGACACTGGTTGCCATGTTCTAAGAAGTACACCCTGTAGTTAACATCCTAAACATACGAATTCCCCGCCGGCCAAATGAATTGCTGAGGGCCCTAGATTCTGATATACACCGACAACATCACTGAATCTTTCAGTTGAAAAATCCACGCCTATGGAGGCGCCGTGGTCCTTCATGCACTCCGCAATTACCGTTTGGGCGAAATGTGGGGTCTCGCGTCTCGGGTTAAGCATAACGCCAACCTCAATTCCACCAATAAGTGGGCGAACCCGCTGCTATTCGCTACCACTATGGGTCCTGACACGGTTAAACTAATGATTGACTGGGGAACTTCGGGGATCAGCAAATAATAGTGATTAAGGAGGTTCCAAACGATTTGGAAAGCTATCTCAACTTGGACGGTCATTCATCGGTAGAGATAATCGACGTCTCTGGAGCAATGATGAATGCAGCCTCGTAAGGCGGTCTAAAACTTTGACAACTGTGTGGTCTTGCTCGCTCTCATATCACGGTATCATGCATTGGAAGAATATCCTCTCTTGTCTGGGCCATCTGGCTCTGGTCGTTTCAACGACCAGTGTACAAAGACGGCAAGATTCGTCACCGATGCTTCCAGACCGACAGCCCTTTGGTTTTGCAAAACAGGCCACAGGCGGCGGGAACGGCAATGTCTATGTGGTTGACAACATGATGGACCTCCGGACGGCGTTAACTAAGCCAGAGCCACGGACGATCTACGTTAAAGGCGAGATTCAAGGAAAACAGATCAATGAGACTACTTATGGAAATTGTCAACTCTACATTGACAGCAGCAACGTTCCCAACTACAATTTCACTCTCTACATTATGGCCATGAACTCGACATATACCAGCTCGGTAAAGGCTGCCGCTGCAGCCAACCAACCATTCGAAGGGCGAAATGCGACAGAGTATCTCACGCTTCTGAACAAGCAAAATGTGAGTAATGTTGCCCGTTCCAACTGCAGAGTAGCATGGCTGACGTATGATGTTCAGGGGTGGCGAGGCACAGCACAGAATGTTCAAAAGTCTTGGGAGTCTGTCAGTGTTCAAAGTAACCTGACACTAGTGGGATGGGACTCGAACGCTTTTCTGAATGGCGTTTCTTTGATCATGAACTCCCAGTCGAACATTATCATTAGGAACCTGCGCATGAGTCCACCACGAGACTGCTTCCCGGCACCCGAAACGTATCCCAGCACCTGGAATGCCCGTTATGATGCTATCAGCGTCGTAACGTCCAGTATGATTTGGCTCGATGGGAACGTTTTCGAGGACGGCCCAGCTGCTGTAGCGCCAGATCCAGCGATATGGGGCTGGCAAGTAGATCGCTATGACGGTCTGGTAGATGTGGAAGACGGATCCGATAACATCACCTTCTCTCATAATATTGTAGCGAATCACCACAAGAGCCTGCTTTGGGGTGGCGGTGAGAAGGAGGGGCCGCGAGATATTGGGAAGATGAGATTCACTGTGTTTGGCAACCATTTTGTCAACTCTCAGAGCCGCAATCCGTTGATGCGCTTTGGCACATTCTATATTGCTAACAATGTCTTCAGCAACTACGCTAATAAAGCGCCCCTCTTCGAATATATGAGCTCGAATGGTTCCAGTACGGCGTTACAAACACGAGATAATAACTACACGCCGGACTTTCAGTACAACATGGGGATCTACAATATGTGAGCTCAACTACCATTTGTCCTATCACTCCTGCTAACCTCTCATGTAAGGTCGTCGGTTCTGGTTACTGGCAACTACTTTGACCAAAGTGGTAAATACGCTGATGACCACACCCGCATCTTCACCTTCAGCAACCTTGCCACGCCTAATACGCCTGCAACGTTCTGCTCACCGCCAGATCTGACATCGGAAGAAGCTAGTCTTTACCCGCAGCTGTCCAACCTTACACAGCCTACTAGTGCGTTCAATGGCCAAGCTGTGAATCTGACAGACAATGTTTTTCAGACTTTCAGCTACTATATTTCTTCGAAGAAGGACTCAGTCGCAGGAGGCTTGGTTGAGGGGTGCGCAAAGTTTGAGGGTCAGCTTATGCCAGTCACTTTTGCGTCTGCTGATGATGTATTCGAATATGTAAAGACCAATGCAGGTCAGGTTGGACGGAGTGTACCATAGTTAGGATGTCTATCATCGCTTAGACTAAACTATGCATGCTTCATCCCACTCCGATCGTCTTTAGTGAGCTGTGGTACGCAATGGAGCCACGCATCAAGTTCGTCTGGCAGCTCAAGGTCGCCAACGTGACGCCGTACAACCTCGTCCCGCTCAGCTAGAGTACAGTGCGAATCAACAGCTCCAACCCGCTGGATCCGCTGGTCATCGACCCGAACTACAACTCCATACACACCATGATCAACGCTACCGAGGTCCTATAGGACATGCGGTTCCTGGCGAAGGCTGCGCAAGGGTATGCCACGGTGCTCGTTACGACGGAACCCATGACCGGCATCCCCATTAGCACCGCCTTGGACTGCCGACTCCCGTTTGATGAGTGGTATGACGCTGTGCTCAGACGGGTCGGATCTTCGCAGCACTTGACCGGCGGCAACCCTATGCTGGCGCAGGAAGCGGGTGGAGTTGCAAACAACGAGCGGCTCGTCTATGGGACCATCAACGTGAGGGTGGTTGATGGCAGTGTTTTTCCCTACCAGCCTAGCGCTCGCCCCATGGGCCTTGCCTAGTTACGCGTTGGCCATAAGAGCGGCCAGTATATTTCTGTGGTGGGCGGACTTACGGAGTCGTCGCAATTGCCGAGGAATAATGCAAGTGTGACCGCGAATGCCGTATTTCCAACTCAAGGCTCTTCACAATCTTGCTGGCAGGCAGGCGGACATGCTGCAGGGTAGCAATGCAATGCGGGTTCATGACTACTATATACATCTAGCGAAGCTCTATCCTTGAACCTCTATCACACAAAAAACCGTCATCCCCCGAAGGACGTAATCTATCTCTAAATCGGCTATAGCTTGCTCTTGGTGCGCTCGTCCTTCTTGAACAGAACGGGACTATCCGGGTACGGATCGAAAACCACCTTGTTTAGGGGATTGAGCTCGCTGGCCCTGTAAAACATATCTTCGTAGACCTTGCCGTCATAGCGTCCCAAGCTGGAATCAAGCTGCCAGTCTGGGAACTTCCACGAGTCCACGAGTCTGACAGCGTGTGGCCGGATCTCCTCGAGAAGCTTCATGACGGCCTTGCGCGTAAGCGTGATCTGGCGCACCGTGGTTGCGCTGCTTGAGAAAAATTCAGACGCCTCACGCTCCAGGGTGTGGAGAGCGAAGAGGCGGAAAAGCTTGTGCAGGACTGCCAGGGTCTGGCGGTCGAGAGAGCTGCGGGTCGACTCCTCCACGAGCGCGTCGTAGAAGGACTTGACCACCATGTACTGTGCGTGTGCGGTGCTCAGGCGGTAGAAGTCGACAAGCAAGCTGTTCCACGACTGCTTCTCGACGTCGCGGTGCTGAAGAGCCTCGAACGTGAGGTATGCGACACGCCAGGCAAAGGCATCCACGAGGTCGGTGTCTGAGGCCAGCACATCAAACGCAGCTCCCGTGTCACGGCGAGCCAGGAACGCCTTCAGGATGCGAGAAGTGTCGTTCTCCGACGCCTTGCCTGACAGCACAGCGCGCGCAGACTTCAACAGGTAACGGCAGACCTGCTGCGTCAACATGTAGTTGTCACCCTCCCAGGTAAGAGTTGGTAGGTAGTCAGCATACCAGGTGCCGATGCCAGAGAAGGAGCTGTAGCCGTGGCCACCACAGGCCCGACGACAGGCCTCGAGACCTTCACCCGCCACTGTGCTGCCGTATGACTTGAGTGCGCAGGACGTGGCGTGCAGGTCGGCCAGCAAATCGGCGCCGGGGTTGAGCTCCTCGGGGCCGGGGCGGCGGTTCGAGTCGCTCAGCTGGCTAGCCTCTTGCTTGGCTGCTGTGCGCTTCTGGTTCTCCTCGTACAAGCGGATCATGCCACGGCCGGTGAAGTGGAGAGCAAACGTAGCAGCCAAAAGAGGTAGCAGACGATACTGGACCATGGTGTAGTTGATCACCTGGTTCTCGCCCACGTTGCCCTTAGCATCCATATCCTGGAACTGTCGGCGGACGGCGCAGTAGCGGGTGGCGATAGTGACACCACGGGCCAAGACGGACCCTGACTGGAGAACAATAGTACTGCGGACCCAGGTGAGGGTTCCGTACACGGCCGAGGGGTTCGCAGGGCGAACGTATTTGCCGGACCCGGGGTCCACTCGCGAGAATCTGGCAAGCATGTTGACGTGCGGAACCTTGACGTGGTTGAGCAGGAGGAAGCCATTGTCCATGGTGTTGTAGCCGAACTTGGGGCCGATGTCGCCGACATGGACGTTCTCCAGAGGCTCATGGGTCTTGAGGTCTCTGATTTGGACCACAAAAGGGTGAGGTCCGTAGCGCTTGCCGTCGATGATGAGCTGTGCCATCACGACGGCGTGGTTTGCAGCCTTGCCGAGCGATCCGATCCACCACTTGGATGAAGTGAGGTGTGGCGAGTGGATGGTAAAGGTCTTGTCGTTCTGGTTCCACGTGGCCGTGGTCTCGAGGCCCCTGACATTGGACCCGTGGCCGAGCTCAGTCTGGGCGTAGCATCCAATGATCTCGTACTTCTGTGCCCTCTCCAGGAAGAGCTTGTGCTGCTCCGGTGTGCCCTGCTCACGCAGGGTGACCAGGAACATGGTGGCATGCAGGCCGTAAGGAGTGGGCTCGCTGAGGAGGTCGTTGGCAACGACATAGTCATCCTGGGTCCAGTTGTGCTTGACCGTCAGCTGGCGCAACCGCTTCCCCTTGGCCAGGGAGGCCTCGATGCGGGACTCGCGACCCTGGAAGTAGTTCTGCGACTTGTCGAAGACGGGGTCCTCGACGAGGATCTTGAGGATGCGCTCCCGCTTCTCCAGGGTCTCCTTGGTGAACATGTACTCGGCCAGCTGGTCGACATTGATGTTGCTTCCTGCGCGCTCCTTGGCGAGCAGGTCGCCTCCCTGCGGCTCGGCCACAGTCAGCTGCTTTACCCAACCCGGATTGGACGGCATGATGAAGAATCTCGGTCAGGGTGTGCAGGTCCCAGTACTCTCGTCTCGTCTCGAGTGCAAGCTTCAGCAGGACTCCCGTGTGCAGCAGGTGAGGGAATTGGAGGCTCGGTCTCCTTTAAGTTCCAGCAATGGCCGCGGTCAATGTTCAGGGTCCCAAGACAATGAGCCGAGGTCGGTACTAGCCTGCGCCCCACCGGCGGCCGAGCTACTGGCGGTTTGGGGCCACGCGGGCCACGCGGGCCACGCTATCTTCGCTGGGCCACATCGTGAGGTCACTCCGGTGCGCTAAAGGCGCTGGCCCCAGCGGTCGAATCTGGTCTAGGCGCGGCTGACCAGGAGGAGCCGCCCCATCTGCAATCCGGGGCCCCGAGTCGCTCGCTCTGCATGTGACTGTTCTGTGATGGAGATGGTGGCTGAATACCTAAAATGCGCAATCCAACAGCCCGAGCCGTCGACGCCGTCGGCAGGAGGAAATGCCTTTGCGCCTGAAGCATTGTGTATTTGTGTCTTCGGTGTCCGAAGTTGCTTCGGCGGCGAATACGGGATTTAATCTCTCTTGTCGGTCTCCGCGGGGTTACTGCAGGCCCATGACCCGACCCAGAGAGGCCCCGGCAAGTGGGTTTATATCCGAGCTGACGAGCTTGCACGAACATCTTTCTGGCGGCAACGTTTCCCAGATTCGTTCTCCTGCAAGCCCCAATCGCTTGAGGCTGATAAAGATGCAAGGAAGTTCATCCATGACACTTTTGCAGCCTTAGCCTTCTGTATTCGAAAACGTGCACGGCCAGGACAGTTGATGTCAATAGCCTACCAAGAGAGCAGAAGGATCGGGGACTCCGTATACAAGTAGGACTCTGCTTTGTTATCTGCGATTTACCCCTAAAGGTCCCAAGGGACCGACAACTACCTGCGCCGGGACGCATCTCCCTGAAACATTTGGAGAATTTTCCACCAAGTGCATAGATCAGGTTAATCCTGTTTTAGACACAAGTGGTCCGCTCTACTGATATCGCTTCAACTATACCCTTGGTGACATCTTCACATCATTCGCAATTTATGTACTGAGAACAGGGACCTAGTTGTATATGCAATCACATCATCAATCTTACCCGCAAGCGAGCCCTATCAAGCGCTGGCCACTTGATCTCTGAGCACTCAAGGGCCCACCTTAGAGCAGGGGTGTAAAGACCACAAAGAATCAGCAGGTGTCCAACGGCAACCTGATCCGCCGGGCAAAGCTTCTCTGTTGAGGTCTTTCACCTCACGAGTTATGTTATTTAAGTCTTCGTGAATTTCTTTTGTCGGAATTCGTTGGGAGCTACGCCTCCCATGGCCTATGGTCCAGAGAGGCTCACGTGGTGGCTCTTTGAAGCTAAGGCGGGCAAAAGCAAACATTGTCCCAACAGCATAAACTGTCCCTATATTATAGACAAACCGTTTGTAACTGTGCACATACGACCATAAGCACTAGAAAACTCGGGATCCCGTCCGCTCTCCCATAGATAAGCTGGTGACTGCTGGATTAGTAGTTGGGTGGGTGACCACCAGCGAATACCCGGTGTTGTATGTTTTTTACGTTTTGTCGCCACATTTTTCTTTTTTTTCTTCTTCTACCAAATGCGTCACAGCATCACCGGTGAGTCGAGCCTCTGCTACAAATCCTGTAGTATTGCGATAAATTCTAGGACTGGGGGAGGTGAGGAAAGAAGAGCTTTCTCCACAGCCGTGGCATTTGCTTTTTACAGGTCGGGTGAATCACCCCTCATCCCCCACCACAGCAACCACCTGCACTAGCCAGTCCGTAACAGTGGCAGCCCTTCTAGTACCATTTTCTATCTTTTGGAGCGCGTCAACACGCAGTGGTCCTTCCTATACTAAGGAGCTAGCATAGAACAGCAATTAATACGACCGGTTTAAGACGAAGACCACAGGGCAGTATCAGCCTTCTTCGATTAAATGATAACCATCCTGCAATGGAAGGCACAATACGAGTAGAATAGTGGCGAATTGACCGACTCTCGAACTGCACTGATAGTAATAAATCTAATTTGAAGCTACTACACTTGGTCAAAAGCAACATGTATAGTAGATGGGCCCCGTCGGTCGCTAATTACATCCATTTCTCCAACTCCTTCTCTGTATACTCCCAGAGATCCTTCGCGAACTTGTCGTCCTTGGCTACAGCATCATCCTCTGGAGGAAAGACGCCGACCGGCTCATAGAAGCCTCTCGTCTTGATTTGTCCCGAGGAGCGCTAACAGCTCACATGTGGCTAAAGGTACCTTGTTCTGGCGTTATCAGCTTGCCCATGGACACCTGCACAAACAGCCTGTCGCTGGGCTTCAGATCATTGATTAGGCCCGTGTTTGACCGCGCCCGGATGTAGGCTGGAAGAGAGCACCTTGGGGTGCCGGCGGGCGATCTCTCGGGCATAGAACATATTGTCAAGCTTGCTGTTGCCATAGCGGATCCAGCGGCCGAGTATGGCAGCTTCCATGGGCGTCTTGAGTTTCCAGGGGTCAAGGGTTCCGTTACGCCAGCCGAGACTTGTGGTGTAGATGATGCGCACGTTCGAGTTGGGCAGGTCGGCCGTCTTTTCGAGTAGCGGCAACAGCTTCTTGGCCAGAAGAGCGTGACCCATGTGGTTGCTCGCAAAGTGGATCTCATAGCCGTCGGTCGAGAGCTCGGCTGGTTTGGCGATTATACCGCCGTTGGCCAGGAACACGTCAAGACGGTCGCATTCTGTAAGGATCTGGTTGGCGCCACTGCTGACGGATGAGAGGCTGGCAACGTCGCAAGCCACAAAGGTAGCGACGGCATTCGGGGCACCAGACTTGATACGTTGTAAAGTCGCCGCGGCGGACTTAGCATTGCGGCCGGTGAAGAGGATACGGGCCGGGTCATGTTTGGCCATCTCGACGACAATTTCGGCTCCGATGCCGCCAGTGCCAACATGTTAAGGTTTGGTTAGTTAAGTGTATACAGTATGCCTAAATGTTGAGCACAGTCCTGGATATCACGCCATGTAGTGCTTAACCCCCGTTGCAAGCAGCGCTCGAACCGCCAAGTCCGGAATGGTCGACTTGTCGAACTTAATGCCAGACAAGTGAGTATGCATTGCGTCATGCAGAAGGGATGTAGAGCTGGATCAGTCTACAGTGGCATAAGCAGTCTATCCATTAGGGTAAATGACTCTAGAGGGAAGCATCACATTAGATTAGGGTCATATGATGAAGTCAACTGCAACCCAAGCAAATAAGTGCGTTGTGAATCACGCACGAAACCCCATGCACTCGTTCTTTTGGAACTCGGCGTATTGATAATTGCTACTACGCGGTGGGCCTCCGGCAGCTTAGGCTTGTGGCTGCTGATGTATTGTGTCATGCATAGACATGTCTTAGGCTGGGTAGAATCTCCTCTTCCTCGTCGACAACTGTCGGAGCATGCCTCGAATATCGAGCAAGTAATTATTGGGGTTCCCTAAATGCCACGTTCAATCAAGAAATGAGCTGGTGATTACACCTGTCTCCGTTGGACTCCGCAAGTACGATGAGCCTGGGTTGAGAGCCTGGCAATACTCTCTGAGACATACACGTAGCTATTGTATTCACTTGGGTTCGATTTTCCATTGCTGAATGAAGATACGGACGCGTTTCTGGCTGCAAACGAGATGTAAGATTCAAATAAAACGCACAATGATGGTAAGGAATGCCAGTCGACGATCGAATAATCACGGTTGATCTCCTTTCGACAAACTGAGGGGGCAAGGGAGAAGCATACGGCTTTTCTGTATCCAGCCTCAAATATTGACTAGTCTCTGTTGTTGCAGCTTGAATGGTTTGGATGCTGGCGCTCAGTGGCTTCTGAAGTCAAACTTCCAATCTCACCAACGCAGCTCTCAGCTGCCACATCCCAAAACTGCACCTCCGTATCAGCTCGGTGCCTTGAACAAACCTTGAAATTTTTTCTCACCAATGCGTCTTGCATTTTGACACCTCATCTTCATCACTCCCCCTCTGTCAAATTGAAGCTGACCAAATTGGATCTCAATACCTGCCCAATCAACCCCCGTTTGCGCACCTGAATTCGAGTTTGAAATTCCACTTTTGCCAAACAGTACACTCGTTGCATCCCTGAATGTGCATCGAATATCAAGATGGACGCCCTTCGCGCTGTATTCAACCACTTGGTATTACCATACCACCTCCCCGGCCGCGCTGATGACGACGCTGATGCACTCTCGCATGATGTACTCAGACGCCTCATCAGTGCCTGCGACGTCATCCTGGACATGGCAGACGAGCCATGGAAGCAATCCTTTCAGAACCTCAAACGGTCACTGGATGTATGCTCCCAGCTGAATGTCGGTGGTATTGATAAGATGGCCTTGTTGGACCACTTTCGCAAACTTTGCCCAGGTTACATGTTGATATTGCTTGTGCGTGAACAGAATGCGGCCTTGCTCATACGCCGTGAGGATCTGTGAGTGGAACTATTTTCCTCGGTTTCTCAATGCTTGATCACCTATCTAACCCTTTTGCAGCGATGACGGCCGCAATGTCATCTTCGAGGCCTTCGAAACATCACCAACATCCCAGGACGTCCTTGCAGCAGGCCATGCACTGCAGTGGGATTTCCCTGGACGGTCGGCAAGAATACCTTTCAGCGAGTTCGCAGATGAAGGATTCCAAGAAAGCTTGTCAGGGTTTCTGGAACAAGCCAGCATGGAGTCATTGCACTTCCTCCAAGCATCTACCAAGAAAGCTGGCGTTTCTGTCGTTGAGGTCCGAGACACCACAGACCCAGCCCTGATCACGCAAATGTTGTTACCACTTCTCGAGGCTCTGGGATGTCACTTCGACGCACCTCTGCTGCGGAAGAGCATACGTGACGATGTCAACATCAACAATGCAGAACTTCCATGGCGCAGACTTCCATTCTGGCTTGTCTTGAGAGTTGCGTCACAGCGACAGTTATCGCTTGAGCTCGGCAACCAGCAAGGTCGTTTTGCTTATAAGTGCTTGATGGGCATTCTGTTTTCCAGCCTTCTGGAGAAGTGTACTGACCACCTGGAACCCGAACTTGTCGCTACATTACGGGCTAAACTTTGTCGTCGGATGGCAAAGCTCGAAGCTGATTGTGCAGCGCTGGGAGCAAGTCGAACCACGGCATGTCGATCTATCCTTGAAAGACTTCGGCCTTTGGTCAAGGCTTTGGTAGACGTGACAACTAGCCACCTCAACACTTCTTGGGAGTCTTTCAAACGAGCCACGGCTCGTCGGGTGCCCAAACTCCCATGCAGGGTAGGGGAGGACAATTTTCACCTATCTCTACCCAACAGCCGCAGTTATTTTGACGAATTGCTTTCATTCAAGCCTGTGCAGGACAGAAATAATACCTCGTACTGCCTACCTCAGTCTCTCGACAAATCCATCATGCAGTCCCAAAACTTCACACAGCAAGTATTCAGACTTCGAACTACAGAGATGGGAATTGTTGTGCAAAGCAAAGCGCCGATTCCGAGAAGGCGCTTGGAAGGCCGTTGCACCGACGTTGCTAGACAAATTCACGATTATATCGAAGCAGCAGGAACTCTTTATGGATCTGACCCTGAACACTTGAGTGCGAAACTTCTCCATCTGTTCCTTCTGTGGGTATACCTCGAAAGATGCGTGATCATATTGCGCCCCATCATTGGCCATCACCGACCAGCCTTTGTCCCGGAGCTACTTGACGTCCTCCAACTACCCACGGTAGCGGAAATGTCCCATCTTCGAGAGATCCAATCTTACTTGAACGAACGGCATCAGACTTCCTGGTATGACAGCGTGCTCGGCCCCCTTGACGAGAATTGTCTGGCGGTTCGATTTGTCAGCAGTTCCCCCGAAATGCTTGCCTTGGGCGACAGAATTCAATCGGCATCAGATGAAGCACGTGATGCGAAGGAACACGAATGGCTTGCGGCGTGTGATAATTATGATCGTCATACTAAGGACTTCTCGAACGGAGTATGCCGTTGCTCAACAGATCCGTCAAGCGGGAAAATAAATGTAGACGGATGCAAGAAGTGTTGGCACGGGCGAGTCAGGAAACGCATCAGCATTGACGCGCACGAAGATTTTCTTCCCAAGAAGAATCCTGCTCGGTCAATCATGATTTTCGAGCTTGGAATGCCCGAGTTCATCTCTGCGTATCGTAATGCCACCTGGAAAATACTACACAGTTTTACGCACCCCTGCCGCGTTTCTACTTCACCAAAACCGATGGTCGCAGTCAGAGACTGCAAAGCAGTAAGTGCTTTTGCGTCAGCAAATATGCAAGGTGTGTCTCTTGCTTCGGTCATCAAGTGTTTCAGTCAGACACACTACAAGTTTCGGCGTGGCAAAGTTCCTTGTAAGGACATACTGTTGCCGTTTGCAGCAAAGTTTCAGCTATACGACGGCGAAACTGGACTTTGGGTCCATGATCTCAAGAAAGATTTGACACTGCAACATCTCTGTGGAGTTTATGTTCCTAATGCACTCAAGGTGCAACTGCTTGCTCTCGATCTCCACCCGCCAACAGTCACACGAGGGCCGTCCTCTTACGAGATCCAAGCAAACCAAAGTACTGTACCGCCAGGGCTGTCGGTCCATGAGTCTTCAGCATACCAAAAGATTCTTGGAGGGAATGCACGTCGATGGATAAACATCCTTGTTGAGATGAGCTCCTCGAACCTCAACTTCAGCAATGATGAAACGATGCGTTTGATATGCCAGGCTGCCGTCCAAGCTGGTCCTCAATTAGCAGATAACGTTCTCGGTGCTGCGCATTGCATCTTCGAAGAGGCAGACTTTGCTTCTCGATTAACAGAGGTAGTTGAAATGAAACTTCAGACAATACGCACAAACTGGCGAGAGAATAACTACATGGAACTCCTTGTCACCCTCGCGTTGCGTCTATACTCATTGTCGGAGGAGCCCAGCAGGACCAAGGCAACGTCACTACTCAAGACGGCACGCAACGCAACATTGACTTGGACTTCCCGGCTTCGAACAGAGGTACGAGATGCGTCCACTGCTAGTATTGCTGAGCATTCTGCTAGATATGGATTCTACGCCGCCTTGTTGTGTAGGCGCACATTTGCCACTCACGCTGAGAAGACTCAAGCTCTGGACGCAACTGATCTCGCTTCCTGGATTCAGGCCTCACTTCCACTACAAGAGTTTCAATTGGGCAACATTGACAGCCTGCCCCCCTAGGGAAAAAGCACTACTTATTCGGGATGCAAAAATGACATATAATCTACAGCCGCTTCTTCGCAGCGCATGCGAACTCTATCCTTCAAGCATCGGAAATGGTATCGCCAGAAGCTGGTCAGAGGATCCAAATGAGTCTCGCCTTTCCTTCTCTGATTGGACCTTCCTGGAATCACCAGAAGACCAGTGGGCAGCAGCAACTTTCAGCTCCGGCTCACGCTTCTCTACAACCCAGACCGTGCACTGCAACGTAGTCGAAGGCCACTTGCTTGTGAATCGTCACTCGCGTGGCAAGCTTCCACTTGAGATTCGCCAAGACCCAGCAATCAGAGAGCTCTTTGGAGACCATCATCTGCTGGCATATCCGTCTCATTATCCCGGGATGACTCATCGGTTGGAGGCTTGTTGGTACAACCAAGAAATACATTTTGGTGTACGCCAAGGGCAAGTCATCGTCCGCACCATCAGCAGAAATGGGCTTCTCGAGTTCATTCCCAAGCATATCTTCAGCAACTCTGAGAGTTTCGATCTCCCAGCGGAACTGATGGACAACTGCGTACACTGGCTCAACCTTGATACGAAGTGTATTGAGGTTCGGCGACGTCCATCAATCTGGGTCAAGAGGCCACGCGATTGGCAAATCACATTACAACCGCGCATTGCTTACCGCGGCAACGTTCGACTTGTCAACCCACAATCCTCGATTTTCTCTGAGATAGCCGGGATCTTTCGATACTTCGTGCAGCCGGAATGGTTGACAGTGTTCCAGCCGAATTCGGAAGCAAGCAGGCTAACGGTGGAAATCCGTCAAATGGACCTATCTTTCTATGTGAACGGCCGTGGTATACTCCAGTGCCGACAACTTGGTGCTGAAATCGACACAAACCAAGATGCAGGGACGTGGTATGGCCTTCGGAGCAAGATCGTATTGAAAGACATCCCTGTATTCAGTCGAAGCATTATCGTACCACTAGCACAGACAAAGCACAGACGATTGGGTATACACGTCGATGTTCGCATGGAAGAGACTGGTGAATACGGCCGTTATCGCATCAATAGCATCTTGGGGCGACTTTCATGCGCCCCAGAGCCCCGTCTCCTGTATACGCTAGCACACTGCCACGCGCTTACATCTTTTTGTCTACCGGACAGACTGACGTCGCGTACGGGATCAGAAGAGGCGCTAGCAATCCTTCGATCAGGTGCATCCAAGCCCTGGACACGACTGGGAGCAGGAGCACTTGGAATTCTAATCCAGCTTCAGACACTTACGCCCCAGAGAGAGTATTATCCTGCTAAGAACAAGCGCTTACAGAGAGTAAACTGGGACAAGAATTTGACGGCATCAATTCAACATGACAGCTACGACTCCCTTGTTTGTAGCATAATCGCGGAGTCGCAGCGCCTTGCCAAATTTTCCCATGAATCTCTTGATGTTGTTGGCTCTGCTGAACCAAGTCACCTTCGCTTCCGCGGAGAACGTCAACGCGAGATCTACGAGCGCCCGACGATTGATTATGGACACAAGACGAGGCTCCCCGCGGTTTACGCGTCTCGTGATCGGAAGGTTACGTTTCAAGGAGAGAATGTCTACAGTGTCAGCCAGATGTTGCTGCAAGGCTACTCTTCCTTCCCAAAGATATCGCCTCTGCTTTCCTATCTAGAGTCATACAGGGTGATTGGCGGGTTTCGTAATGACGGAGGCTCGGTTACCAATGCCAGACCACTGATTAGCCAGATCGAGGAACCCATTGCTGAGAGATGGGGTGAATTGGTGAACTTCTGTCGGCTGGAGAAGAATGATACAGCTGTACTATTCTGTCTAGCGCTATTAGCCTTCCATCCAAAGCCATCTATGGACGTTGTTCGGTCTCTCGCCGCCTTCCATTACATCGATTACCTCAAGGATCTAGAGGTACCCGATTTTCCAAGCTTCGTCAATTTGAGCTCAAGTCAGGTGCCTCCTCTTCCAGACCTGGAGAGATTCCTCGAGTCAGCCTACCGCAGCTTCCAACCCACATATGTATGTGGAAATGGCAAATTACGAAAGCGCTCCCAAACCGATGCAGCGAAACACCAAGAACTGTGCGAGGAAGAGGCTCACGAGTTTGCTGCCTGTATCCAGAAACAGTGGCCCATCGCAGCCGACGACTTATTGGCGGAAGGCTTGGAGTTTATATGTATCGATATGGCCGCCGCGATAGAGGCGATCAAGCCTGGGAGCGCAGAAGGGCAAACATGATACTGAAGGCATTCGTCGGTCGGGTACAAGCAACATTGGACTCGCGACGTGGCATGATCAACACCGCGAAACTGGTCAGCTGGAATGACAACCCACCAGAATTCGGTCTCCAGAGCCCAAAACCTGTTCATCCGTCGCTACAGTGTGACATGCTCGTCAAAGTCGGGCCAAAGCTGGACATTGATGGCGTCGATCTTGTCTTGAACTGTGCAAGCACAAGGGAAGGAAGAAGGACCACGATGGCTTCTGAAGACCAATTCCGGTCTGAGATTGGAGAGTTTGAAAGAATCTTGAAGAAATTCAAAATGCCAGACGACCCACTGAGGCAACAATACGCCGATGATCTACTTCAAAGCCTGGTTGCGGCTAGAAATTTGGATCAGTCAGAAGCCAGGCACAGCATCCCAGCTAAAGAAATCGTCACGAGTTCATTTTTACGACTTCAAGAAGATTTAGCTGTCTACCTCGACCGCATCCGCACTTCTCTCGCCACCGGAGACCCCCGGGCAGAATGGCTCAGGGCTGGTGGTATCTGGCCATGTGAATCCCCACTCAGCCTTCTCACATTACTAAGGTCGACGGCTACACATGAGTTTGGGCCCGGTATGAAGGAAGCGCTGGTACACTGTGGTGTTACCTTCGCCAACTTACAGCGATTAGCACGCATTTTGCGTGCACTGTCTCGAGATGATGGAAGAGCCCTGACTGAAGAGATGCGGAACCCTGGACACGAGAATTGGTCGCCTTTTGAGATGACCGATTGGCTATTGATAGAGATTGACAGCAACCTCTTGATACGGCCTGAGCAAGTAGACGTAGCTCGAGCTATCATCGACCCGCATTCTAAACAGAACAGCGTACTGCAGATGAACATGGGAAAAGGTGAGTTCTCCGTGGTAGTTACTCAAGTACAGGATGTTAACTGACCTCACAATAGGTAAAACATCTTGTATTGTACCCATGGTCATCGCCGCGCTTGCTGATGGCATGAACATGTCCCGCCTAATAGTTCCCAGAGCGCTACTCATGCAGACGGCTCAGACGGTGCAGTTGCGGCTGGGGGGTCTCGTGGGACGTGAAGTCCGCCATCTTCCATTTTCTCGGAGAACCCCAACCACGCCAGAGATGCTGGAACTTTATGCGGAAATTCACCGTGATGTCCGGGCCAAGAATGGATTGATACTCACAAGCCATGAGCATGTGCTATCGTACGAACTTAGCGGCAAGCAACAACTCGTCGACAACAAGCTTGAAGTCGCACGCAAAATGATGAGCTTTCAGAGTTGGCTAAACAAAACTTGTCGCGATGTCCTTGATGAGTCCGATTTCACTCTGTCTACCAAGACTCAGCTCAATTATCCGAGCGGCTCTGAAACCGCGGTTGATGGTCATCCTGGCCGTTGGCAGGTTAGCCAAGGACTCCTGGCGATGGCTTTCGGGCACATGGCATCTCTGAAACGAAGATTCCCCGGCAGTATTGATGTGATCAAAAAATCTGCGTCTATTCCTGAGGTACGTTTCTTGAGGAATGATGTAGAAATTGCGCTACACACACTCCTACTAGAGGGTATCTGCACCGGCAAAACAACATTGCTCCGTTCTGCCGGCCCGATCAATGTCAAGGCAAAAGCAGCTATCCAGAAAGTGCTCTGTGAGGAGGAGTACGATCAATCCGCATTCAGCACAGCGACCACTGCGTTCATCAATGATGCGGCAGCAACGAAAAAACTTCTTGTCGTTCGAGGTTTACTTCTCAACAAGATTCTAGTCTTACGTCTCAGCAAGCGGTGGAACGTTCATTATGGTTTGCATGCAGGTCGGCACCCCATTGCGGTTCCCTTCGAGGCAAAAGGTACCCCATCAGAACAATCAGAGTTCGGGCATCCAGATGTCGCCATTCTCTTCACTTGTCTTGCATTCTACTACAGTGGCCTCGCGCAAAATCAATTCCGTGAGAGCTTGCAGCTCGTACTGCAGTCAGACGACCCAGCTGCGCAGTATGAGAGATGGACGTCAGGTTGCAAGGGCATACCACCAGCCCTTCTACACTGGAACATGATCAATACTGATGATAAAGCACAAATGGAGTTACTGTGGCGGCACGTCCGCCTTGATCGTGTCGTTGTCGATCACTACCTGAACCACTTCGTCTTCCCTGCCCATGCCAAGCAATTTGAGGTCAAACTTCAGGCTTCCGCATGGGACGTACCTCTCTTCAACCCAGAGGCACCGGGCGGTGCCAGGACGACTGGATTCAGCGGGACAAATGATAATAGAACACTTCTCCCGTTGACTATCCAGCAAGATGATCTCTCGAGTTTGAGACACACAAGTGCAGAGGTCCTTCTGTATCTTCTACAGCCTCGCAACCGCGGCTATCATGTGATGATAGAATCATCAGGCAAGCCACTTACAGAGCATCAGCTCCTAGAAAGGCTCTGGGCTAACAATATCCGCCTTCTCATTGACGCTGGCGCTTACGTCCAGGAAATGGATAACCAGACACTCGCCAAAACGTGGTTGAGTGTGGACCACAAAGCCAAAGCCGCTGTTTACTTCGGTCAAGACAACCGCGCCTACGTTCACTATCGTAGCGAGATAAAGAATGATGTGCCACTCTTGGCGACGCCATTTGCAGACAATCTGGATGAGTGCCTTGTATATCTAGACGAAGCGCACACGCGAGGAGTCGACTTGAAGTTTCCCCTTTCCGCCCGTGGTGCTTTAACGTTGGCACTGAAGCAGACCAAGGATTTCACGATGCAAGGTGAGTGATCCGGTAAGAAATAGATTACCAACTACAGCACCACTGACTGTTCGATATAACAGCTGCTATGAGACTTCGGCAACTAGGCACAACACAGTCTGTGACCTTTTTTGCGCCCCCTGATGTCGACAGAAGCATCAAAGACTTTTGTAGCTTGCAGGAACACGGCAAAATTGACTCATCACATGTTGTGTCTTGGCTCTTGGAGCAGACGTGCCGAGTTAACGAAGACCTACAAACCCTGCATGTTGCCCAAGGTCTCGACTTTTGTAGAAGAACAGACGCCCAGTGGCGTTATAGCAATTTCTTCAGCAGTAAATATGACCTTGACAAGCTGCTCGACGTTTACGGCAGCCCGAACGCCAGACACTGGAGCATTTATATGGAGCAGACTTTCTGAAGACATCCAAGAGAGGCCATCAGCATTTATTAATCCCTACTTTGAGAGACTTCACCGAAACACTCTCAAAGCATACAAGCCGCCGGAGCTTGCTACCCGCTGGTGCACTGGATGAGGTGGAGCAAGAGCGTGAGGTCCAAGTACAACTTGAGCAAGTCCGGCAAACACAGAGGCCTCCGCGATACCAGTCCCTAACATGGCCGGGCCTCCACCCTGCGATATCGCACTTTGTCCGGTCAGGGGTACTTTCTGGGCCGTCGTTCCCTAATGCGCTCACTTACGTTGGATGCACCACCCTCGGTGTTAAACACGGCGTCCGAGGAACAGGATCCAGCCTCTCCGTGTCAAAGGAGTTCATGAGAACCGTCGCAGATCCAGCTCCAGCTGACAACTTCATGGTATGTGTTGAAGCACGACACAGAGTCCCTTTTAACTGCACCCTCACTAACATAATATTTCGACAGCGCCCAGTGGAATGGATACTATGGAGTCCATTGACCGAAACTGCACTTGTGATCACTCCCGAAGAGGCCGAAGAGTTGATACCTTCTCTTCGGCTAGACGGCATTACTGCACGAGTCCATCTGATCGCCTATGCTGCACCCGCCACGAGAGCCATGCTGTGTTTCAATGATATGCGCTACTATTGCCTTCCGGCCCTTCCGAAAGAGCATAATTTTCCCACTTGGTTCAGATTCGAACTCGGTATTTTGGCAGGACGACTCTTTGTTGAACCGCAAGAATGGGACTTCTTGACAGCAAGTCTAGGCTTGTCCGTGACAAAGACTGATGATTGCTCTGAGGTCTCCGAGGAAACAACACACTCAGCCATGAAAGGCCCTACAATCAAGTTTTCGGACGATCCTGCTGCTTTCTTGTTGGACTGGCTCGCATTCCGTCGCAAAACTGAAGACGTCCTCCACACGCCAATGGGGTACATCTGTACCGGCCGAAAGTTGGATGAGAACTAATCCTTCCGACAGACATCCTCCTAGGAGGCCTGATACGTGGAAATACTTGCACACGTCTTTGGCCCTGACGACTTGTGCTTTTGCTTAGCTTTAAGAAATGATTGCATGCTTGTACTTCACGCTAAGGTGAAAAGCTTTGCATATGGCGTCTTGACATGTGTTTCTGTAGAGATTACAGCTTGCCAAGGTATGCAGTTACATCACTGAACCAATCAGTCTGCAGTTCCTTCAAGACCTATAGGCATGCAGTAGTCTTTAATGACTGTGTTGCTTTCGGTGGTTGTCTTACATCTACCGTGCTTCGTCGACTCCGTTGCATTCGCCTTGATAGGTCATACATCCAGTCCCATAGGACGATGTACAGGTAAAAGATATGTGCCAACAAAGATCTAAAAATTTCTGGCCACGTTTTCTTGAAGAAGTGCGAGAGTTTCCACGAGCTGCGTGATCTTATCAGACTGCTCTCCTTATCTCAGCCCTAGTGAGCTAACTAAGAACTGGGCACACGATGGCGCGGCCAGGCTAGCCCACTATCCACTATATCCACAGGGGCAGAGCTAGAACAACCTAAAAGCCTCTTTCTGACCTTGGGTTGGTACAAATGCACACAAAGATAGTAGCACGATCTACGGGAGACCCACCGCCACGCACCGACTAACCCTCCCCTCAAGAGGGAAGTGTATGCGCTCCACTGCCGCTGTTTTCCGAGATCTAGGCCACCCACAAGTCCCGAAATAGGAGATCCCACTCTTCATACAAGTCTCTGTCAACAATGTTCAAGTACCGACATGAAGGAACCACAGACTGGATCATCACTCGTTGTCCCAACTCGCACCTTGGGATCTATCAGTCCGTCGATGTGGCCCGACTGCAATCTGTTACGAGGATTGAAGTAAACCATTATATTCGAGTCTGTCTCTCCCCTTGCCTGCAAGCCTAAAGCAAGCAGACTATCGCAGAAAGAGCTATACGCGCAATGGCAGATCAAGAAGTGCGCCTATGTCACCGGCAGCTCACGGAAAGACTTGCTGGGGACGTGTCAGCCGCATTGTTATCTGCAACAATGGTTACCCCTGCGATAGCGATTATTGATAGGTACTTTGGCATGCTCATTCAGACAACATGGAACATACCCACTGATTGCTTCCATTTGATATAGATCAGTCGTCGAAAAACTTGTCTACCGTGAGCCTTTCCTGAGGTCCATGAAGGCAAATACCAAGTTTGCCTTCATGCGACCAAAGCAGTTTATCTTTTGTCGACCGTTTGGCATCATGTGGACGCTTTATGCAGCCACATATACTGTCGCTAGCTGTTCAGATACCCTTGCACAATACTCTGCACAGGCCGCTGCGGCTACGATCACTTTCCTGAGCACCACAGCCGTTAACGTTCCGCTGGGGATCTGGAAGGATATCAGATTCGCGCAGATTTACAGCAGCAAATTAAAGGCTCTTGAGTCTGGCGGCCAGCAGACCAAGACAAAACCTTCAGCAGTTGGTGCTACGAAGCCAACAGTTCCGGTCCCTGTTCGTCGAGGGCTACCAAAGGCAGCCACTGCACTCTTCCTCGCGAGGGACTCAATCACGATTTTCGGATCTTTTACTTTAGCTCCAAGAATGGCAAGCTTCGTCCCAGATCAGTTGGTATCGGGGCAACATGCCAAGGCTACCATATCACAGCTTACAGTGCCGGCACTGACGCAGCTTGTGGTCACCCCCGTCCACTTACTAGGTCTTGATCTATACCACAGAGAACAGCAAGACTTGAGCTGGAGAGACCGGGTCAAGCACACACAGAATGGTTTGGCATCGACAACTGTCGTGCGCTGCTTACGCATTCTTCCCGCTTTTGGGTTTGGAGTCATTGCAAACACGGAGCTTCGTTCATTATTCCACGGCACAGTTTAGATCGTGCTATTCTGCGTCACGATTTTCCTTTGTTCAAGTCATCACAAGGCGTTGGGGAGTACGCGACAGCATCAAGCGTTAGGCACCGGTGGGAACTGGTAGCGGAGATAGAAGGCATACCTAGAACTGTGGATTTCAGCCCAATCGAACCGAGTCGTTAACCAATCCCCGGTTCTGACCCGATTTCAAGGTCCAAATGCGTACATGAAGGATAGGAGCGGCATTCAATTCAGTGTGGAGAGGCGCTAAGACAGGAGAAGCAGGTATAGCCGTTGTTTGGAGGCACTGAGGCCCACGACCCGACAACTCAACATGGCGGGGCCTCGCCCCGGGACGACTGCCGAGACGTTGATAATCTGAGGTTCGACCGCTCAGCTCATAGCCGTAGTTTCGGCGTTCTGACCTGCGACGGTGCCATGTTTCCCGTTTCTCATCCAGCAGGAGCTATTGCTGAAAGGCCCAACTAACAAAAAGTGGGCCAGACACAGACTCGTCCTGCAGAGCTGGAAACGTGACATGCTCCCCGAGATCGGGTGGCGGAGCAGGAGACTGACCCCTGTCATACGACACTTCAGTCAGTCGAGAAATAGCTATCTGGCCAAGATATCCGGTACCGGTAGAGTATCTCTGCTGCAGTCGATGAATACTACCGTGGAACTTAATAGGTGGGAGGTCAGTCACTTCATTGAATGCGGGGTAGAATTCGACAGTGATATTACCCTCGCGGGTGGCAGTGCTTAATACCTACCTTAGCTATAGAGAGACAAGAAACGCCTCTTCGCCTGCGCTGGATTGAATTTGTATGGTCCGACATCTGTGGTTTGCGTCCCATTCTTCCAGCCTAAAATACATCTCATGATGGTGGAAGCGCGCCGACACGTGTTGCCGCCTACGCGTCTGGTCCCAAACTCGCCGTACCCACTGCTCCACTACCCGGGCTTCTTGTCGCGCGAATGTGCGAGGTCTCCTAACCTAGCCGCAACCAAGTGCTTTGACCTGTTTGCTGTGAACGGTTGGCAAATCCAATGGGTCTTTCGATACGGCTCGACCCAAAGGTCGCATTACCACTCTCAGGCCCATGAGTGCATGGTAGTGCTTACAGGCAGGGCGAGGATTCGCTTTGGCGTCGCCGACACTGTTGAAGACTTGGAAGAGAACACACACGGGTCTGGGAAGGAGGACGGCGGTATAGTCATAGACGCTAAAGCTGGCGATGTCTTCGTTCTGCCCGCTGGGCTGGCGCACAAGACGTATAGTACTAGCCCGCAGGCTTCTTTCCAGCTTCTAACCTCGGGGAATGGCCATTCGATCGACTCTCAGGACATTAAAGGCGAGTTGGCTAAAGTGGAGCTCAGTGGCTTTACTATGATGGGTGCATATCCAGCCAGCGTCACACATTGGGATTTCGCTACAGGAGGGGAGCATGTGGGCAAATTTGAAGATGTATGGGCCGTGCCGAAGCCGGATCGAGATCCCGTGCTTGGGGATGCAGAGGAAGGCATTGCGACGTGCTGGTAGTTCCGATGAGACGAGGCCGAATACAACGGAAAAGGCCGGGTTTGCGAGGGATGTATTGAAAATGTTCAATCTGCTTTTTGAATCGCCATGAAGGGTTGCGTATACCCTTAACGCGTTGTACGTTATTCGTGCAAATCCATAGCCTACAAGTCTTATTGGCCTGCCCATCCCCGCCATTCAGTAACAACACAATACTGACTGAAGTACTACAGACGAAGCGCTGGATGCATTGCCATGAAATGCCATCACTCAAATAAGACGATGCAACGGTGAAGGCAGCCAACCATGCGCAACACTGCAGATCCAGCGGGGAAACGGGCGAAGTTCCAGGATCTGACGCCTGCTGATTGGTAGTATTTATGGCCAATCATAAAACAGAGGCGCAAGTCAGTCCAGTCCGGCAGGCTGTGCTAGCACTTTGCATATTGAACCAACCGGTGACGGTTAGGATTGGATGGCTGGCAAGGCGTCCTCCCAACTCCTTGGGTGTGACCGAAGTTCTGCGCGATTGCGCAGAACTTCGATTCGTTGACATCCACACTTCGAATAACTCAACGCTCAGCGTATCACGAGCAATGATACTTCAGCAGCGGTGGACCCCAAGAAAGGATCCGTACATCGTGCAATAAACATCCAGGAGACGTTCTCATCCGACACAATGCTCCTTAGCCGACAGCCATGGGACCAGCCATTCGGTGGCTGGGGCTCTCGTGGTCATATTCAATGTCGCTACGATCTTCCTCTGAGGCTTTTTGATTCGCGCAAACAGAACCATGACTGCATAGACAATAAGAAGGCAAGGGCTAGAGCTCGACAGCTGCACAGAAATAAGACACTATCAAGTCATTTGAATACCGGTGGCAATACAAGCTTCGCGCCGCCAACTCAAGCGGACAGTCCTGACAGGGTCGGCATACAACGGGACACAGACAACAGCATCCAATGGGTCACCTTCAAGGTTTCAAGGACCAGGCCTACTAAAGAGTACACGATTCGATGCGATTTGAAATCGGTGGATATCAAGTCATTACCAGAATCATTCAAGGAAGACAACACTGTTTACCCATTGGCTCGCGGTGCGAAAAGTGGATTGTACCAGGATGCAGTTCACCACTTGGCGCTGTGCAACGTGGTTGGCTGGTCTCTCGCTAGGCTGAATCCTATACTAGAACAAAGTCGTGAATTGTTGTATTGCGCAGTGGAAGCTTGGCTGGCCGATGATCCAAACAAAGCCTCTACGCAATTTGGGTACATTCTTCCAGAACACGCTTCACCCTTGTCTGGAAGTGCGATGAAAAATTTCTCCAGCACACATGAGAACAATCGGACAGAACTTGATTCTGGAGCAACCCTGATTCGGCAAGATTCCAGCACATCCTTTCGCGGCCTCGCAGGAGCTCCCAGTCCCGTTGTACTTGCCGAGGATCCCAAGGACAGAGATCGAGACGCGCACGAGAACCGCCAGTTCAAAGAGGTGCATGAATCCACTTTCCACAATGCTCTTCTACTACAGCCCCAGGAGCTCGGTATCGACACATCCAGCGACATCGGAACTGGTGCCATCTTTGGAGACTTTGAGGCCGACGATGGACACACTCTTCACGAATTCATAGACGGCCACGAATTATCTTCGTCTCTCGAAACGAATTTGATGCAGCACTCATTGATGCCAACCTCCACCACATCTAATTTTTATGATGGAGTTGCCTTTGTGGACGATCCTCAATCCATCGTGCCTGCAACCCCGGTTGAATTTTCCCCGGATGATGCCCACCATTTGATCACAATACCGCCGGGTACTAACGTCAGCCACTCTGTGGAACAAGTAATGAAAATCTTCACGTCATGGCTGGAGGCAAAACTCATATGCATCACTTCTCAGACCCAAGAAACCAAAATTTCCACTGGGGATGCAGCAGCTAGCAAACCAGATCAAAGCTCAAAAAACATATCTGGAAAGGCGTCCGGAAGGAAGAGCCAATTCATGGCTAAAAGGCAGCTGCCATCAGACGACGAAGACAATGGGGACGATTCCAACGATGATAGTGGCCGGAAATGGAAACGCAGCCGGTCAAGTGTTGAGGACGGTCAGTTAGCATGTCCGTTCTTCAAGCATGACAGGCAGAAGTATCGTACTACCAGAGGTTGCTGTGGCCCAGTTGGTTGGCCCTCGGTTCATCGAGTGAAGTAGGCCTGAGAAATCCTTGAACCATCTCTCCGCTAACCTGAGCAGGGAACATGTTTATCGCCGGCATGCATTGCCAAAGTTTAGGTGTCATCGTTGCTGCGAAGACTACGAGTCATCAACAAAGCTTGCTTTGCATCAAAGAAGCAGCGTGCAGTGTGAATTACGCTTAGACAATGATAATGGCGATGCCGTAGACGAAGATACTCTAGCCAAGCTACGATCTAGGAAGAAAGGTACCGAGAAGACGGTGCAAGAAAAGTGGAACACCATGTATCAAACCATATTCCCCAATGACACCGCCATCCCGACTTGCTGTAAGTATCCGCGTCTACATGCCAAAGACGAACTTCCCGCTCACTCTATAAGACTACGACTACACAGATTCAGATTCAGTCTCAGGCTCAGAAGGACACAGATTGGAGCAATACTGTCAATATGTGAGGCAAACACTCCCTGCGCTAGTCAGAAGGCATCTTGGAACCAGTATACGACCTGAAGTAGTTGATGAGGTTTGCCGCCAACTACCAGCTGTCCTACAGGCGTTGAACCAGCAACTCTACGACAGCTTCCAGATGACCAATACTCCACAGATGGATGAGGAAAGTTCTCAGACCCCCGAGTCTCCGATCTACACACCTGAACTGCAGGATGCATCCAATGAGTCAGTTTCTCAGCTGCAGCACAATATCCGAAACCCTCGGCCCGAGCTTGGGTCAACTTACGCGACAAACTGTACAGTCGGCAATTCGATGCCACCATTTTCGCTCGAGGACTTTGCAATGCCTGCCATAGGATATGGCGATAATGATTGGCCTATGTTTGACTCAACGCTGCTTATGGGGCTTGGGGTCGATATTGGTACACAAGAGAAATCATCCGACTCAGGGTACGGGTCGCAAGTATAGCGTTGATTTTGGCGCACGCGCTAGCGTCTGTGGCAACCATTATATAGAGACCACCACGGGCCGAGAGCCAGAGACAACCAGGAAACTAGCCATTGTCTGCAAAACACGATTACATTGCACTCAAGACACCATCAACGTTCACATGCCTAGCCTTGGACACCAGCAGAGGACGGTGTGGGGAAACTGAGATGCTAAAGTCGTCCTTTTGCAAGGAGAGTAAAAGATCTCGCTTCCGACTGTGCAAGGATTAGCGCGCTAGCTGGAGCAGCACCCTTGCATAAGGCCTGCTTAATAGAGCTTAGATCTCGGTTATCGGTATGGAAATATCCCACAAGTATCCAGATTTGGTTAGTAGTTTCCGTTTTTCTGTTTGAGCTTGAAACTGGGTGGAGCAGTGCGCTTGGGTGGTGAGAATGGACGTATTGAATACAGCAATGCCTGTTTGTCATCTCATCACCTTCAGGTTATTGTGTTCAAAGACACAAGGCGACCACGTCAAGTCACAAAGTAGAGCAGTGGTATACAAAGATCGCCCCTTGGTATCAATAGACCCAGGTTGTTGTCATGAAGTTTGCGAGACTGATCTATTCCGGGATGATGACCCTATCCTAGCATTTTCGCCAATCGCGCGACAATTCGAAACCTGGTGACTGGTGAGACAACATGAGACGAAGAACATGAGACGAACCCTCGGACAGACTTTCCCTCAAGGTGTACCAGCCCAATGGTTCCACCACTTGCGTTCATTTTCTGGTCCAATGTCGCGTGTGAGATGATCATATGATGCCAATTGGTGTAATCTTCCAGGATTCACACAAGGATTGGAGCGATCTTCTTGCCAAAAATGGTTGGCAGGCGCTGCAACAGAAGTTTGTATACCTCCTTACGCCTCCTTGATGCTCGCCCATTCGAATCTTGGCATTGGCCAGAGCAAAGATGAGATTTACAGTATCATGCAATGCAGTTCATCCTGCATCGCTTGCATCGTGAGTATATATAGTAGCTCAGCAGCCCCAGGTTGAACCGGAATGCTACGCCAACATTATTACCATTCAATTCACCATTACGCTCAGGTAGCCAGTCTTTTATTCACAACTTTCATTCAATACATTCGTTCACTTGGTCATTACGATCAATTCTTGATCCATTCGTTACTACCACTATTGCAATTATATAAGCCAGTACTCTATCCTGAAGCCAAAATGAAGACCACTACCGCCCTTTTCCTCTCCGCTCTCTCCCTGTGCGCTGCAACTGTTTCGGCCCACGGCCGCCTGGTTGAGCCGGCTGGACTTCCCAACTCTGGGCCTCTCAAGGATATACGCGTGCCTTCCAATGGCTGCGGCGACGGTGTAACCGTGTCGGGCAACGCTGTTGCGACTTTCAAGGCTGGATCTACGCAGCAGATCACATGGACAGTTGACAACGGGGACGGCGCCGGCCCACTAGCAGTGTCGTTCGACCCCACTGGCAAAGGCACGTCCTTTAGCACGACTGCTGCCATGGTTGTGCAGCTCGAAGGAAGCAATGGAGGTGTTGGCAACGACTTCCCTCGTGGAAACCACGTTGTGAGCTTCAAGGTTCCCACGACAACCTGCAACAAGTGTGTGATGCAAGTAAGACAGTCCTTGACTGGTGGAAATAACGGCTTTGGATCTTGCGCTGTCGTAAGCATTGTCTAAAGACATTATCAACTGTCTACAATGGTCTGGGTGCACCTTGTCAGGCATCTCTGTTTGTGGAAAAATGAGCTACAGGGAAATACCAACACTAGTAACTGATTAGCCTTAGATTAGTCTTGGTTCGAAGGATATATAATGCAGTGATTTGGCCGTCTTTGAGCGGTACGATTTACTTGTGAATTACTTCCCGCTTGACTAAACGGTGAAGCTGCCATTTTTCATATCCACCTGAAACGAAATCAGTTCGTAAGTTGAAAGATTAACTGTGCAACGATCGAACGTATAAGCCATCAGCAGAATGGGTGATATTCAAAGAGACTCTATTATTACCAAGTTCATTTAAGTGATGAATTGAAGATGATTATACCTCATAAAAGCGGATGCCGCCCATAATAGGCTTGACCTTTTTCTCAGGAAATCGGCTACTTGCATTCCTTCACTCCGCCTTCAGATATTGAAAGTCGGTAAAAGTCAACATCGTCCATCATAGATCCATCAAACTGAGAACCGATTCCCGCAAAATCCATTCCCTGTGCTTCATGGTAGCCTGTGTCTGATCCCTGGCCCCAGCTGCCGAGCCAAGCCATGTCATCACCGCCTGATGTTGATCCGCCTTTGATGGTGCCACTCGGGTGGTTGAAAAGCGAAGATGACGACTTCATCCTGCTACTCCTACTTTCCCCATGAGACATTGTTAGGTTGTTCCCTTTATCTTTGGTATATTTGGCAGCCTTCTGCTTGCCCTTGGTGGTCTTGGATCTTCCATTTGATGAAGGCATCTCAAAAGAAAGAAGGCTGATCTATGGGATTGGGATCAGCTCTGCAATTTCCTATGGATGCTACAAGCGTACCGCGGATGCGCGTAGTTCAGAGATGTGAAGACTTGAATCACAACTTGGGTAGCCGTCAAGATGGAGATATGTTTGAAGGTGGGCTACCGATGCGGGATGAACTGGTTAATTAAGAAGGATGCGTTGAGAGAAACTAGTATGAATATAGTGACGCAGGCGCCTCGGTTTTCGGCTCAACTACTTCATCGGTGCGAAACCAGTGGCTTTATATACTGCTGAGCTTATTCAAATTTGTTACTGGATATGTTTGATGAATGGAAAGGCGTTTCTGACTTACCCTCTCCAGATAGAGCCAACACGCGAGGCCTTTCCTTGTGGTTTTTGCCTTCACCAATAAAATTCTTTCAAATTTTCTTACAACTCGTATCACACCAATGAAATATTACTGGGCAGTATACTACACGGGGCATCTGCCATGTCAAGGCCTACATAGTCATGCCATGTGCAGCCACTGTGGTTGTGGTATCATCCAATCAATGCTTCAAGGATGCTCAGTTCTCCCCAAGTTAAGCCACCGTTTGCATCGGGATGTATTTGACAAGAACCCCTTCAAACCATCACAGCATTGTGGTTTCGTTGCAGGCCTATCATAGCACCGTTGCTGACTAAACCTGTGAACCGGGCAGATAACTCGTGGGGTGATGCGCTCTCGCACCGCACTACTTGCATGCTGCAGTATGTTTCAGTGGTATGCAATAATCTGACTGGTAATTGGCTGCATGCAGCCGACCGACTTCGAAACTGTCTAGGCGCCACAAAAGACTCCCAAGCTCCGAGCCTCCGGTTACGGTTCTGATATCAACCAATCGTATCAGGTACGGTTCCGACGTCGTCCAATCAAGGGTTTGGAATTGGGCGCACGCAGGACTGCGGACCTTTGCCCAACAATCATCAAGGCAGCATCTTAGCTGCCTTAATCAGGCGAACCAGCACTGGCCGCGGATTGCTCTTCCTCCCTTTACATGGACATCTAACCATGTTATAAAATTATTTACTCGTAGGTCTCCTTTCTACAATTATTCGATCTCACATTCAGGGCCCCGTCTTCAACACCAGTACCCAAACATAATCATGGAACCATGCCAGGATGGCTCTGCGGCCCCAACGATCACAGAGTGTTTGCAGCAGCATCTCGACTTTATCCGCCGAGAGTACGTGGACAACAAAAAGTCAATTATAGAATTGAAAACCACCCTCCAAGTTGAGGTTGGTACCGATTTCAGGTATCTGACCCTCGATTCCCAACACGTCCCCTCCAAGACAGATGCTAATAGTCCTTGACAGCATGTCAACACTACAAAAGTTTTTGAAGACATATGGCATCCACAAGAACACGAAAGAAGAACATTGGAAATGGGCAGAGCATTGCTTCAAAAAGCGGAAGATCGGAGAGGGAAAAGAGAGCGAACTCCTCATTCGTAATCAGCTTGTAGACGAGGCAACACGCCAGAAACGGGTTCGGAATCACCTCAGCCTCTCCGAACAACACACTATTCTTGACCGTTCGTGCAACTGCATGGCCATAAACGGATATCTTTGCTGACAGTACAGTCTAGAACCAACTCCTCCGGCACCTACGGGATGGTGTGTGCGCACACCACAAGGAATCTGCGCGGACGAAGAGCACGTTCCACTTGGCCCCGACTCCCCAGGCTATCAAGCAATCGTTTCTGCAGGTGATGTAGATTGCGATGGTTCTGAGCAGAGTCCGCAAGGGGAATACGAGGATGAAGAGAAGAGTCCGGTTCTGCCTGAGACATCTCAACGCCAGCAATTCAGTCCTGCTGAAGCAGTCGAAGAAGCTATCAATTTACTGCCAGTCAACTCAGCCACTACAGCCAACAGCATTTCTAATAGAGCATCTACTGCCACTCCCGAGCTGGCCATGACAGATCAAAATTATGTCCTGTCTCAAGACTATGCCCAGAATATGGCTGATGATGATGAGGATGTCGCTATGTACATCGCTGCCTTCGAAAGCCTAAATTTATCCCCAAGGTTCGCGTTGCGGGAAAGTTCCATAGGGCATGATGAAACTCATCGAAGTTTGACCACCGAGACACTCGTGCGTCTATTGGAAGGCTGTGGGCTGTTTTCTTCCTATTGGAGGTTGTTGGGTGTTGACATGGCACCGGAAGCCGTCGCTACACGCTACGACAACATTGCGGCCCTGGTTAGCACATCCATCCCATGGCATCCAGACTTCGTCGACTTTAAAGAAAGCCTGGATTTGACCTACGACTTTGTAACCGCTATCGAGGTCCTTTATGCAACCTACCACGGCGATAAAACGCGGCTGGATGCTGCGGTAGGCGAGCTCAACTTGGACATGAACTTTGATCTTCTGAACACCGCTCTCTTTATCGCTGTATGTCAAAATAATCGCCAGCAAACTGACTTTCTGCTATCCTCTGGACTGTGCCAAGTCAACTGGCAAGCCACAGACGGAACGACATGCGTTCATCAAGCAGCCATCCATAATCAGCCAGAGACTCTCGAATTAATCCTCACAAAAGGAGCGGACCTTGAGATCAAGTGCAGTCGTGGAGAGACTGCTTTTTTCAAGATTTGTGGCTCAAGAGAACACGAAACTCTAAGCCGGCTGCTGGTCAAGGCTGGCGCCGAGATGCACACATCAAATGCCCAAGGAAACGGAGCATTCTGCATGGCCGCGGCCAACCAAGATACAGAGGCGATTGATACAATGATTTCGAGGGGTATGAACCCTACAAAGGGCACTTTATGTGATTGGTGTCCATTCGTAAGCCATACAAGACCTGCACCTATGCATCCTGCAGTTGCTGATACAAGCGCGACAGCATTCAGATGGTGGCATCCCAATTTCGGGTTTCACAGAGATATGTTTGTGAGCATATCAGTACGCATGAGCCACGGCAATTGAGGATGGCAAACGTTGACTGAAACGAGTCTGGCTTGGGCGATTCAAATTCACAAGTTGGCAGTGACGTGATTAACAAGATCAAAGGCATACAGGCGGTACAATGATATTTATTTTATCATCCATCATTAGTTTCAACGCACATGGTCCATTCGCATATGCCAGTTTTAAGAGCGACTTCAATTCCAAGTACACCCAATCAGTTTTGGTCTCAGGGACTTCGAGATGCGGTGGGAAGTGCTCATGCAAGAGACCGACGTTGCCAATGAAATCAAGCATACATCGAACTATGACTTGATCTGTACATGTAGACGAGAGAACAAGATTGGAAAGCTGTTCTACGACCAAGGAGATGGGAAAGAAAATGCTCTTCTCGAACGCGATCCAGAAGAAAGAGAACGAAATCCACGGCGGGGCCGGTAATATGAAGCACCTGAGTAGTTGCTGCTGCTGCTGCTGCTGCTCTCGTCGGCATGTTCCAGACACCAGCCGGAGTCAGGGCCCTTGTCGATAGCCTCGCGCACGCAGTCCTTCTTGCGGCACGTGTGGGATACGCAAAATTTGGCGCCGTCGCCGCCTTCGCGCTGGTTGTTGCAGCCATCGTGCATACACCGGTGATTCTCGCAGAAGATGCCGAGCGCGAACATGGACATATGCAGGCCCGAGGCGTCCATGGCCTGTAAAGCCTTGACGGGCAAAGCGCCGGTGGTGACGCGCTTCTGCGCGCGGCAGTCCACGACGGCGCACTTGTGCGCCGCGCAGTAGTCCGACATGGGCATGGGCACCGCCACACAGTCCGGGCTCGCCTCGCACCGGTGCTTGGTACAGTGATGTTTGCCGTCTTTCGGGTTCGAGCAGCCATTATAGCCGCAGGGGTTGAAATCTGCGGAATGCATTTGTGAGTATAGCTGAATCAATATACTAGGCACGGTCGATGTTCTGATGGTGGTTGTCCGAGGGCAGATAACCCCCGAAGGCAGTTCTTATATGAGGAAATTTCGCAACGAGAATGACTCACGTTTCGCACACTTGTGGCGCACTTTCCCATTCTCGATGAATCTCACTTCATTGCAACTGGGTTCTTCGCATCGCTCGTGATTCTCGCAGTAGTTTCCTCTTGCCGGCTCGCCTTCCTTGGTGCATCCGTTCTGGTACTCCTTGCATACGTGAACAACGCACCAGTCCGTAGTAAGCCCCTGAAACCTCCGCTCGGTGCAGCCGGAGCGCTTGCACTCGTGGTCCTCGCAGAACATGGCGTTCGCTGTGGAATGAATCTTCCTATGGCAGGTACCCATCCTACACACATGCTTCTGGCAGGCGACGTTCGGGAGCTGTCGCGCCTCCTCACACCCGTGCTTGTACTCACAGTAGTGCTGGAGGCAATGCTTATAGACGTGTCCGGTTTCGTCAACCTGTAGGCGTGCGTCACATCCGCTCGCCTTGCACCGCTTGTGATCTTCGCAATACCGATCACCCTTCTCCACCTTGGCAGGATCTATACTCGGAGTGACGAGATTCATACAGCCCCCGCTGGCACACGTATGGGTCTCGCAGCGGCTGTAATTCTCGTGCTTGACTGGATTTTCACAGAGGGCGTAACTACAGGTGTGATTTGCACAGAACCTGTATGCTCTGCTGTTTGTCGACTTGTTGGTTCTCATCTCGTTACATCTCTTGGAGAGGCAGGCATCTGGGAAGCATAAGTTTATCGTAGTTGAAGTGAGCCAGAGCGTTCATAGGTACTGACGGTCTTCTAAACAAAACCTATGTCTTCGTTTCCCGCTCTTGCGACTGTTCGTGCAGTGATCAACTGCACATATCATGTCTACAAATACTTGTGAGTTCAAACGGCCTACAATAATATGTATGACTAATAGCGCCGGACTCAACTCACGCTGGTCGCAATGCGGCTCCCCTCTCTTGCTTGCATTCGTGCACAGCACACCAGTGATGGGGTTGATCTTGGCACACGCATGCTCGTTGCAGTAGATCGAGAGATGGCTAAGAACAACCAGTTGGTTGCTAAGGGTACCGGTACGCGCTCTTTGAGACCATCCTCTACACCCTGGTTTTGCGCAGCGATCTTTGGGGTCGTAGAGGATGGCACGCGTGCGGTCCCCATACCGCCAGGCATCTCGTAGTCCACTCAGCATGTCGGGCTGTGATATGTCTATTGAGTAAAGTGACAAATTAAGACACAATATCACGGTGCATCTCAAATACGGCACGAGAGTCGGAGCTGAGATAAAAGATATATCGATGCGCCAGACAAGCCGGTGATGTCGTTTGTCTGCAGCCGAAAGGTTCTGACACCTGCCGATCAACGCGCGGCATCTTGGGGGTAGCGGAAGCATGTTGTGTTGTCCAACATGACGTTTGAGTGCGCAAACAGGGCGCCCGAAACATGGTCAACCGCCGACATGGGCGGCAATCTTCTTTCACTCAGGTGGGACAGGACAACTAAGATGACTGCATCATAAAGGCAAACCGGGTACCAGAGTCATCTGACGGTTAGCTGCATCGGCAGCATGTCCAATAAGTATCATGAGGCAGCCTATCAAGATGAAGGCCATATTTGCTCGGCTAGCAACCAGCCCTTCGGTATCTTGAACTTGTGGCAAGATCACAATCTCGGGCCTGAGCGAATGAAGTTGGCCTGAATTGCTACTTTCACACAGATACATGAAGAGGATATCCTGTCCAGCAAAACCCCAGAAATCTCATCTGGGATATTGTCATAACTCATCATTCAGCTAGTCATGCTCTACTCCATCTATAAGCCACTGGTGGGTCACCGTGGCAGGGGGGGTATCATGTGCCAATAGAGGTAAAATCCATGTAAATCCTCGTGAAATCGCTATACTCAATCCCCGATAATCCGCCACACCGAATGAGCATTCCCCCAAGCGCCAATCAACATCCACATCACTTCTCTTTTTCTGGGTGTCACGAACTCCGAGGCTTGGCCTAGGCCGCTGCTGCTGAGGCGTTGGCCTCTTGATCTATCAGACGCTTCAGCTCTAGTATACCGGCTTCTTCGTCGTTGAGTGGTTCATGTTTCACCCCGCAATCCTCAGGTTTAGGCTGCGCAGGGCTGTCATGTGCTTGCTGGTGCTGTACATGGGAGAATGTTTGCGCCTGAGTTTGAGGTTGCGCCTGTACCGGTGGTTGAGGCTGTGGCTGTGCTTGTGACTGCGCCGGTTGCGCGTGCTGGGACAGCTGCTGCTGCCGGAAGGCTTGCTGTTGCTGAGGGTTCTGCTGCTGGGACTGCACAGGAGGGTGAGCATGTTGCGGTTGCTGCTGATATCGGGATTGCTGGCCCTGCGGCTGGGAAGTTGTGGGCGGCTGAGGGCGCGACACATTGTGCTGCAGGTGCACCGGTTGTGCAGCCGGGATACCCGGGGTCTGCGCGTTGGGGTGAGCAGCAACGGTCTTTTGTGGCGTTCCGGGATGTGATTGGGGATGAGATGCCACTTGGCCCGGGGTTGTGCTCTTGGGAATAGCTCCATTGGGCGTTGGATTTGGCCTCTGTCCATGGCCATTCTGCATGTTTCCCAGGGCCATGATGCCGTTGATATGGGCCTTGTCGCCTTCCGAGTTGATTCTAGCACGTTCTTCTGCTTCTTTCCGCGCTGCTTGCGTAGGAGCACGCGTCTTGAGCTCGCCTGTGACACACTGGAGGTAGTAAGGCATCTCCGAATTGGTCTTCAAGAAGAACAATTTCAGATTTCGGGCCTTGTCCTTGAGTTGTACTTGTGTGCGCTCGGCCAGGATCGTACTAAGCCGGCCGTTCTGCCCAAAGAGCTGTAGAATTTGTGACCAATGCGGCCCTTTCACCAAGTCTAGGCCACACATGAGGGCTTTTTCCTCCTCGGGACTCCATGGTCGCCGCGTGGAGTGCGATCCTTCTCTGCGCGCATGAGTACTTGATCGAGCGGCGGCCGCTTGCCTGGCTCTCTCGTATAGTACATCCGAGGCTGCAGCTTGACCCGGAGGCAACTCCACAGTCTCGCCTTGTACGCCCATCTGCTGCAAAGAAGAATTGGGCTGTTGGTTGTATGTATAGTATTGTTGCTGCGGTTGCATCTGGGATGGTTGTTGCTGTTGCCCGTTTGACTGCTGCTGTCCATTCGGCTGTACAGGATTTGCCTGGGGCACGGTAGTTGGGTGATACTGGTTCCGCGCCACCATCTGCAATGCCAAGTCTCGAGTCTGGATAGCATTCTCATTCGATGTCATCACAGTAGAGGGGATGCCCGTGTTTTCTGTTTGGGTGTGGCTCTGTTCGGTCGCACGCGACAAGAGAGCAGCAAGGTCGTCATGGATATTGGACGAGTCGCCGCCACTTCCCACAGCATTGTTAGCAGCTTCTGCTGCTGCGGCGATGGCAGCATCGATGTCAAACCCTCCGTCGAAACTATCGTGGGTGCCATCGAATAGGGGCAAGCTGTCGGCAGCAGCAGAGGAACTTGTGGGTCCAGATCCAACCTTTTCAATATCCGTCATGTTGTCGTTCAACCATGAGCTCACAAGATCGAGCCAAGATTCGTAGATGAATTGCTGACTAAGGGTCTCTGGTACACAGTTAGATCGATACGCCGATAGCAGGGCGGAAGACGTACGAATACTTGCTGCGTCACCAGATTCGTTGAACAGCATGGTTTTCCTCTCCTCAGCGTTGGCCAAGAAGTCTATCTCTGCTTGCGACAGAGGCAGGTCTGGATGGTGATTCTCCAACGCACTCTTCTGGTTCGTTACGAATAACTCCTCGAGTACCTGATCCCTTGGTTTTGTTTGCTCCTCCTCGAGCAAGGTCAGGAACATTTGTGTCTTCAGACCAAGATACAGTTCTGCAACTTGGGCCGACATTTGCTGTCCATAGGGTATGAACGTGCTGACGAATATCCGCTCGAGGTCGGGAAAAGTAAGCTCATTCGCTCCGAACATGCTGACACACGTTGTAGCCAGGTTCGCGATCCGGAGGATATCCCTGTCCTCCGGGCTAGTAATGTCCAATTGGTCTGCGCTTAGAAGCAAGAAATCTGCCGAGAACTGCTTCTTGACGACATCAAAGAAGCCTCTGAGGGATACGTATTCCTTGGCAACTTGGGACTCGGGCTCTCCCAAGGTCCCGATCGTGTCTTCGAGCGAATTCTCAGACAGGGTCTTCAAGATATCGACTGCCACCCTGCCTAGCGTGGGGAGCAAATGGGTTTGTCGCGTATATCGCACCGGGTTTGTCCAGATCGTTTTCTTGGGCGTCATCTGAGAGGACAAGGAAAGGTCCGCCCCTGACAGGGCATGGTCTAGAAGGTCGTGATGCATCTCGCTGTCGTGGGTGCCCTCGTGGCCACTTTCCAGGCTGTTGTTGATGCTGGCCATTATGCTGTTGATGTCAATTCCATGGTCCAAAATGTCGTGACTTGTGTGGTGATCTCCGTCTTGAATATCTGGCATCGGGTGGTCCTCGTGCGCCTCTGGCTTGGCGGCAGATTGCTGGGCCATTTCAATCATCTTCACAATCTCATTCATATCAGCGATGCCGCTATCCGTCTCGTGCTGGTTCTCGAGTATGCCTGCGTCCCCATCCGTCCTTTGCCGCTTCTCGCCTCCATGATCATGATCGTCCTCGATGTGCGGCGTCCGGGGTCGTTTGAGCGGAGACGTTTGTTGGGCCTCGGAGCTAGGAGACTCATGCTTTATTTCGGCTTTGATCTCGGGACCTGACGGGAAGTTAACCACCATGTCCAGATGGAAGGCTTAAGATCTTTCGCGCCGAGGTGTCACCTCTTTGCATCGCGAGGATGGAGATCTTTGCTCAGGGATGGGATCACTGATTGCGACTCACTATGAGGGATGTTCAGCGGAGGATCTTGCGGTAGGCCATTGGGAAACTCCTGCGAAAGGTCCTGAGTGAGGTCCTGGGAGAGATCATGAGCCAGATTGTCGTGCGCCGTATGCGCTTCAGCAGCTGCAGCCGCCGCCTCAAGGGCAGCCATCAGATCCTCATCCATGGCGCGTACAAGGTCGCGGCCAGGCGATTGAACAGTCACAGTATCCAATACCTTCAAAAGCGACTGCGACGCCAATGGCGACGTCGTTATGGACTACTGTACGGGCTGGTACTCTCGAAGTTGACGTCGGGGAAAATTTGGCGGCCAGCGCCGATCGCGATGCCCTTATTTCTTGCCCCGACGATAACGATAACGGTGATACACAAGTCACTTGTTCCAACATCATGTCAAAACGGCGCGCGCAACGCGCATAACGCAAATGGTACTCCGAAACTCTAGACGACTATTTTCCTGATTTACTCGTGCGAATATTGCGTTAATTCATACTGCGCAGCGCAGCTGTCGTTCTCTTGAATGCGCCGGTAACATGATGCCTCTTATCGCGATAAGATCTGGTAACATTCAGGTCACCGTCACATCCGCGGGGCACTGGTAACCGAGCGTTATAACCGCCCTAATAGTTGGGGTCTTTCAGCAGTGAAGTAGACTTCAGGATACCTGCCTAGCTATGCAGCGCGGCCAATGGCTATACGACCAACGTGTATGTCTGCCAATATTGATTGTTTTCGAGACGAGGCAAGATGTTCCATGCTCACTTGAGCACCGCCAATGAAGACTCAACATGAAGATGTCACGTTCGAGACTTTGTAAGCGGGGGCAACTCTCCTTCACCCCGGACCCCCGGATCCAGCAACCACGTTCTCTTACAAGGCACAAGTTGACTAATACGGGGTATCGTACGATATAGAGATCCGCGACGCGCGCAAGCCAACCCATTGGCTGATCTCTATATTCAAGGCTGGCCAGCTCGGCGCCGTTAGGCCATCAACATATTGCACAACGCTTATCAAGTCACAGCACAACGCATGCATAATGCCTCGAGTCATGGCGCTAATCGACTTCCCTTTGGCCGAAGACGCGTGATGCGCACGCAATCTCCATTTGGCCCGAGGGATTTCAATGTGGCCTATCCTCAAAGGGAGATTGCAGAATGTGGAACGAGTCTCGTGAGATTGGGAACGTGTTGTATCGAGTGTACGAGTTATATTTGCTCCAGGTAGCGCGAGGGTGAGGTATTGTGCCGAAGTTGTGAGCCACTGACAACTCGCTGCGAGTTGCCCCGAAGTGACGTACCCATCAGCGTGTGCAATAAAAGTTAGCTTCGGCGTCTGATCTGGTCTCGAGGACACGGGTTTTCAACTATATATTCCGCCATGAATTCGTCAAACGGAGTGTCACGCCAGTTTCTGCAGGTGTTGCACACGGGGTACTCAAGCAGATGATTCCGAATCCGTTTCCAGGTTCCGACTCCCTTTGCTAAACGCCGACCGTGATGAAGATGCAGATCCCCTCGTCCTGGGGCTGAAAGACTCTGCCGAGGGGCAGCTAGTGGAGGTGGGGTAAGTAATGCAGCCCAGGGTGGTGCGGCCTTAGTGCCGCAGTACGTTTCTAGCGGGTCCGTCCGGACGATAGCTGCCAGCAGCCGCTAGGCGGACATAACCTATCCCTATCACCAGCCCCGCCAGCGGTAGGAGTGATAATTCTCAGGCGTTTCTCGTGTCGTTATTAATAAGTGATTAAGCGAATGCACATACCATAATGACAGTAGGCCTCAATCCGAACAACCCGTGAGAAATGAAGTCCTTCGTTGGAGTTGTCAGGGCGGCTACATGGTCATCATCCGAAATAAGCTTACCCCAGACCCCAAATTCCTGAGGTGGATATGTCGATAAGCAGTTGGTTGCAAACCCCAAAAGCCGATGCTTGACGCGAAGCACATCGACCGAGGATCTAGAAGCCCAGGCCCAGCCCAAAGCAAGTCCCGTCGACCCGTCCCCATGACCGTTGGGTGAGACGGTAGGACGAATGGGCCGACAAAAGGAGTTCCGGAGTTGGTTTGGTGATCGCTAGGGAAATTGGGCTGGGGTCTCATTCACTGGCCGTTCGGCGTTTAAGCCAGGTCCATCGATGCGGGGAAACGGAGACGTCAGAGGGGTCGAAGGGGTGGAATTCAACCTTGTCGACCCCAACCAATGGTGGCGACTAGTAACTCACCACAGTTGTAGAACAGCTTCCCAATCCACGGGTTGCAGGGGCAACGCTGGGCGAGGGTGGGAAGAAACTCGGGCAGAAGAAGGTTTCTCATGCAGAAATTGGGTAACTGGGACTCGTGAGACTGTTTGTGATTCGCCATTTCTCGCCAAGCCCTCGATCCCATTCAAGTCCCACTTGCAGCCACTATGCTAACCGCCAGACCGGTTCGAGTATGTTCGCCTCTGGACCATCCCCACGAGTATGGAGCCATAGCCAGTTTGCCCCAATGAACATTCGGGCCCCTTGCCAACATCGTGCACCGTGGTAGCTCGTACTAGCTTGAGACGGGCCAGGACGCTGGGGGGACCAGGAGAGGCGAGGGCAGTGCTCGGCGTATTGTTGTGTCCCGCGACGTCGTGGTCGTTGTCTATCCACATTTCCCTCCACTGCGCTACGGACTCGGGATGTAGCTCCATCCTAGCTGGCGTCACAGCTCGCCGCCTACCCCGCCTGATTATTTATTATGCCGTGTGCCCTCGATCTGTGTTACCCATTGGAATAACCTTCATTCACATTTCTCCCTACTACCCCTCTCCGATCTTATACTCCGATAAGTCAACGAGATCGTGACTCGACAAGACTATACTAAGCTTATTGTTCTTTTTACATCAAGATACCCCAGTTCAACCAAAAATACGCAAGTACCATGCCTCTGTCCGCCCAGCTCAAGACGCCAGTCACTGGCCAGTATGAGCAGCCCACTGGATTGTACGTGAATGAGGCTCCTTTTCTCTTTTCTCACCTTGCACGTCTAATTCTGGTTACCTTCCAGGTTCATCAACAACGAGTGGGTAGAGAGTGTCGACAAGAAGACCTTCGAGGTCATCAACCCATCCACCGAAGAGGTTCTCTGCAGTGTCTCGGAAGCTACTGAGAAGGATGTCGACATTGCTGTCTCTGCCGCCCGCAAGGCATTCGAAGGTGCCTGGAGCAAGGTCACGCCGCAACAGCGCGGTAAGTACCTGTGGAAGTTGGCAGATCTCGCCGAGGAGAAGCTGGAGCTTTTGGCTGCCGTCGAGTCTCTTGACAACGGAAAGTCAATTACCATGGCAAAGGGCGACGTCGGCGCCGTTGTCGGCTGCTTGAGGTTCTACGCCGGCTGGGCCGACAAGATCACTGGCAAGACTATCGACACCGACCCTGATACCTTTGCCTACACACGCTCGGAGCCTGTAAGTACCCCGGGACGTCATATCTGCGGCTGGCGAAATTGACACTTGTCTCCTAGCTCGGTGTGTGCGGACAGATTATCCCTTGGAACTTCCCGCTGCTCATGTTCGCATGGAAGATTGGCCCGGCATTGGCCACTGGCAACACCATCGTCATGAAGACCGCCGAGCAGACCCCTCTGTCTGCCCTGGTCTTCGCCACCCTTATCAAGGAGGCTGGATTCCCTCCCGGTGTCCTTAACGTCATCTCTGGTTTCGGCCGCGTTGCCGGTGCTGCCCTGTCATCACACATGGACGTTGACAAGATCGCTTTTACCGGCTCCACCCTGGTCGGCAGAACTATCCTGAAGGCCGCTGCCTCGTCCAACCTCAAGAAGGTCACCCTCGAGTTGGGTGGCAAGTCTCCCAACATTGTCTTTGACGATGCCGATATTGAGCAGACCATCTCCTGGGTTAACTTTGGTATCTTCTTCAACCACGGCCAGTGCTGCTGTGCTGGATCGCGTATCTACGTCCAGGAGGGTATCTACGACAAGTTCGTCGAGGCCTTCAAGAAGCGAGCTATCGCCAACGAGGTTGGTGACCCATTCAGCGAGAAGACCTTCCAGGGTCCCCAGGTCAGTCAGCTGCAGTACGACCGTATTATGGGTTACATCGACGAGGGTAAGAAGGAAGGTGCCAAGGTCGAGGTCGGTGGCGAGCGTCACGGCGACAAGGGCTACTTCATCAAGCCCACCATCTTCAGCGGTGTCAGCCCCAACATGAAGATCATGCAGGAGGAGATCTTTGGCCCCGTGTGCACCATTGCCAAGTTCTCCACCGAGGAGGAGGTTATCAAGGAGGGGAACAACACCACCTACGGCCTGGCCGCTGCCGTCCACACCAAGAACCTGAACACCGCCATCCGCGTCAGCAACGCACTGAAGGCCGGTACTGTATGGGTCAACCAGTACAATATGATCATGCACGCTGTTCCGTTCGGAGGTTACAAGGAATCTGGTATCGGGCGTGAACTTGGTGAGGCAGCGTTGGCAAATTACACTCAGACCAAATCTGTATCGATCCGCCTTGGAGGTGCTATCTTTTAAATATGGGCAAGGGCCTTGCTAATAATGCTGTATCAAATCTGCTGTATGTGCTGTATCACCTGACCCCACCCCCTAAAAATTAGTGGGAGTCCCCTGTAGGCCCCCTAAATCCACCACCACCACTCCACCTAAGCCCCTAATAAAAAGATCGTGAGGTCAGCCTGAAAAATTGTGGCATTGTGTTATTTGTCTTTTAATCGTCCTCTATCGTCGTCAGGTCTATGGGTTTCTCAACCTCGATACCGCCTTCTGACTGTTCACCATCACGATCGGCTGTAATAATCGTTGCGATTCGTTGATCTCGTAAGAACCTCCTTCGGAAGGATTGTGAAGCAAAATCCTAAGAGGATCTATGGTGTTGCGAATGGGTGAAAAAACGGCCTACTTTGCAGCAATTTGGGTGAATTGCACTTAATAGGATGGTATCAGAAAATCGCTCTGTTCGCCGGGCCGGTGGCTTGGGCGCAGCTGATGGCAGCTGAGTCTTGGTAGTCTACAGGGAACTCCCACTAATTTTTAGGGGGTGGGGTCAGGTGATACAGCACATACAGCAGATTTGATACAGCACCATTAGCAAGGCCCCTAAAAAAATCGCTAAGTCTGTTCGCCGGGCCGGTGGCTTGGGTGCAGCTAATGGCAACTGAATCTCAAGAGTCTGCAAGTGACTTTAACTGAATTTGGGGGGCGGGATCACGTGATACAGCATATATAACAGATTTAATACAGCGCCATTAACGAGGCCCAAAATTTAGCTGCTATCAACTACGCCCAAACTACCGGCCCAGCGAACAGACTTAGCGATTTTTACGAAGCAACACTTAGAAAAGCCAAGGCACGAGAGGTGGCAACATACAAAGTGGCAATGAAAAACAGGCGAGAGCTGCTAGTGGACAGACTACAGCTTATGTTTTTGGTCCTCGTGCGCAAACATCAACAGTAGGCCTGGCGCAGCAGCTACTTTAACACCAGCAGGCACTGTGATATGCAGCGGGTAGCCTCCAAGGCCCCGGCATAACGATCCGTAGTCGGGCCAGCACGTCAGCCCTCATGAGATCAACGAATCGCAACGATTGTTTTTGCTATATTAGAATTTTATTGCGTTTTTCGCGTTCTAAGGCTGATCTCGCGGTCTTATTAGGTGCCTAGGCTGGGTCGTGGTGGGTGGTGGATTTAGTGGGCTTACAGGGGGCTCCCACTAATTTTTAGGGGGCGGGCTCACGTGATACCGCACACACAGCAGATTTGATACAGCGCCATTAGCGAGGCCCTAAAATATTTGAAATGGAAATTTACATCACGCGATTGATAGGAGCTAAATTGGTTATATCTCAGCTGGGAGGCTTCACGGAACTGGGGGGTCTCGTGGAGAGTTTACCACAATCCGAGGATGTCATGACATGATTTTGTCGAGTCAATTTGGCGCAGTTTGTAATCCATGAAATGACGTGATTCAATTCCTGTCAGAATCCGGGCCCACAATCAATCGGGCTTCAGCGCAGCTGATTGGGTATTGTTCGGCTGTTAGGCACCAGCACAGGTCCCAGCCTCGTCTTGCCCTTTTCTTCGAACGAGGCTGCCTCCCCTCTTTCCCTTCTTCCTTTTCCCTTCTTCGTGAGACTTTGGTTTTGTGACCTGGTCCCTCCTTTGGGTGTTGGTTTTGTGACCTCACCCGTCTTCCTTATGGATATGGCTTCGTTGCCATGCCATTCTTCTCTCCTCTAGACGTTGGTTTTGTCACCATGTCGCATCTTTCCTCCTCGGACGTTGGTTTTGTCACCATGTCGCATTTTCCACAAGTAAGTACCTTTGTACCTCACCCAATTTTTTTCAGCCTTACCCACCCCGCTTGATTTGGCCCCCACCATCTGCTATTTTGCCAGGGCTAACCTTGCAATCACTTCTTAGCTCCATCCTCCCTCTCAACTCCAACAAGGCAAACGCTTCTTGTCCATCTTCGGTTTGCAAACTTGACATCCCATCTCGTGGCATCAAGAAGATCCCTCACGCACGCGCGCATCATACTGCACGGCTCTGTTGACTCCCATACTGTCATCGTAAGTCCTGAATTTTTCGTCCGCTTCCACCGTTTGAAGAGGATTTGCTGACCAGATGCCAGAACAGCGAACACAAGCAGTGGAACGCGCGCATCTAAGCTTCACCCAAACCCCACCTACCCTCTCATCTGACATTGACTCTTGTCTTGTCATATATCATTCTCTCTCCACCCCCATCTCTCATCTGACATTGACTCTTGTCTTGTCATATTTTATTCTCTCTCCACCCCCCATCTCTCACCTGACATTGACTCTGTCTTGTCATATTATTTTCTCTCCCACCCCGCCAATCATCACCTATCATGGCTCCCAAGAAGACCACCAAGGCTAGCCACAAGCCCTGTGGTTTGTTCTACCCAGATGACAACAAAGTCATTGGCGGCAAGAAGCTTGGTCTTCCCGGGAACCTCTCCACAGATTTCCTCATCTTGGGTGCAATATCCAGCCTCACCCGCCCATACGTCGCACTGTCGCTTCGATTCCCAAGATCGGCCGACAATATTGCCTCGTTCTTCCGCTTCTCCGACGGTCAGCTTTCTCCGGAGTTGCAGGTGGTTGTACGCTTCGCCCCTGGCACCATTGATGTCACAGCCGAGCCTTTCTCAGAGGAGACCGCCAAAGCCGCTGGACTCCCACCCAGTGATAAGAGAAGATGTATCGTCCATCTCACTCTACGCGAAGGCATGAAGCCTGCCGTTGATGGACTTGGTCTTCCGTTCTGTGGAGAGACACAGGAGATCGACGACTACATCAATGTGGGCACCAAGATTGACGGACACCGAACCTTGCGTGAGATTCTCACCCAAACCACCTTCCATTTTCTCTTTGCGGAGTCTAGCATTATGCCCCGAGCCACGAGCCAGTTCGAGCATGATCTTGTATCAAGTGACACTCCCATCTATCCCTACGGCTTCAAGTAAGTAATGGTATGCACTCATCGATGTCTACATCAGCTAATACTCTTCCAAGGCACCATTGGGACATGACCCGATACGAAGACCAGATTGGCAATTCTCCTCTCGCCAATGTCTTCCCTGTTGCAGTCAGACACGAAGATGAGAATGCAGCGTTGACTATGGTCACACAATCTGTTGTCCAGGATGTCTATCATCTCGCTCAAGATGTTGCTGCGATTCTTCATTTCCCCTTGAAGTTTCGTTTTGTTGCAATCGGCAGCCCCGGTTCTGCAGAGGAGCAACTCCCCAGCATGTACTATGCCATCGCAGAGCTTCCAGATGACTTCGTAAGTTTCGTCCATGCATCCCATTGCATCCTTCAAGTCACATCTGTACTGACACTTTCTGCCCTTCAGACATCTCAGTTCGGTAGATCGCTCCCTCGCCTCAACAAGACTGGCTCGCTGGTATCACTTGTGTTTGCAGAGGCACCCATCAACGGCGCAAAAACCAAGGACAAGAAGGCTAAGGCCACGGATGAGAAATCGTAGGAAGGTATCATCCAAGACCCGAAGGCTCCCACCCCTGCTCATTCCGGCAATTTCGTCCTCAAGATCCGTCGACCCCCTCCCGACGCGCCTCACTCGGCTTTGAAGTTGACCTCATTCCCATCTTTCGCCGACGGCAATGATCACTGGGATGAAGCCTACATCAAGTTTGACCCAGGCCTCACTGTCGCCAAACGACGAGTGGCTGCTGCCGTCAATCTCTTCACGTTTGAATCCTCACCACCCTCCCCCAAAGACAAGTCCGAGGAGGATAGCGACGACGAGCAGTCAGACCAAGATGAGTCCGATACTGAGGTTGAGATCCCTGCCCCGGCCGAACCAGACACTACTGAGTCGGACACCCCTGACCCCGCCGAGCTCTACAAACGCCAGTGCATGAACAGCTACCTGCGTGACTTCATCATGGGCCGCGGCTTCCCCACTGTACTCTATCCACCCCCCCAGCCTATGTCGGAGGACGTCGATGAGTCTGATGATCTTCTTGAGAAAATCAGGGAGCGCCTTGCCGATCTGCCGATGGGTGGTAACGACAATGAGGATATTCTTGCCAGACTCGGCCAGCAACTTGCCAAACCGAAGTTGCCCAGCGGACCACTCAATGCCCCCAAGGTCAAGTTCCTCACTGATAGTGATTCTGCACGAGTCGACTCCATCTTGGCGATGCTCAACAACCCTGATACTGAGGCGCGTTTCCGTACATACCTCGAGCGTAGCGTTCTTGGTCTAGTTGGCATCTTTGGGTTTGCCGGTTCTGGAAAGACTCATCTGCTCGCCCTGACTTCCCTCCTCTATCTCGCCCACCATGACATCAACATGATATACGTCGCGGCACCTACCCATGTCGCCGTTGGTAATATCGCCAAACGCATACGCTCCCTTGGTGTTGAGCTCGCCGAAGCTGACGAATCTGGAAGTACCCATTCTCCCCTCGTCATCCACGGTCACAAGTTTGATGTTGAGCTTTCTGCTTTCATCGCCATGGCTGGGGATACCACTTTAGATAGCGCTCCACCCAACCAGTGGCAACCCTCCCGTTGGGTCCTCCCACTTTCCCCTTGCGAATGGCTGTTGAAGGTTGTCAAGTCTGGCGGTCGTGATCTCGCCCAGCATGACAAGCCCATTCTCTTCGAGATTCGCGACTCGTTCCTCAATGATGAGGTGTTTGCTGACCTGCGACGCTTCATTTCTGGAGAGGTGAAGTTCGTCGACATCAACAAGAAGGAGTCCGAAACCGAGGAGGCCAAAACCGAGGAGGCCAGAACCGAGGAGGCCGGAACCGAGGAGGCCGGAACCGACGAGGCCGAAACCGACGAGGCCGAAACCGACGAGGCCGAAACCGACGAGGAGGACCAACCATCACCCGCCAAGCTCTTGCGGGGTCTGTTGGAACGCATCATATCCGCTGCTGACTTCATTTGCACCACCCCGCATGCCTGTCGCGACAAGCCGTACAAAACTCTTCAGAAAGATGCTGACGCCGT